GCGAGAGAACAGGATTGCATCATCCCATGTGTCTCCGTGGAAGCCTCTCAGGAGCTTATTTTGAATATTAGATGCGAAGGGATGCTCCACCCCTTTGCCAAGAAGCTACCAGCTGAGCTTTGATTTAGCACTTAGATTCAAGGGTTGCCTAACTCAAGCTGCCCAATTCCGCCCGCCTACCTCCATCTGTCTGCAGGCAGGGAAACTAGGTCTTTGTAGTCACTTTACCATCCTTGCTTTATGACTCCACAATAGCGGTAGAGAAGTTGCTCTTATTAGACGGTCCTTTGCTAGGATCTACCATAAGATGAAGGGCCCATCGGCAGGAGGTTCAATATCCTGCCGAAAAAAATGTACCCATACCGTCGCTTTGTGAAGACTACTTGAGCCTAGTTCACGCCTGGCAGTATTCTGCGTGGAAACCCAGACCCACTTCTCTCGGACCTTGGAGCCCCTCTGGGGCGATGATCCCAAGCGTTTACCCAATGACTCTGTTGGTGTCGCCACCAACAGCTTCCAGATTTACAGGTGAAAAGGATAAATTGAGACTGTTGCTTCTAACTAGTAGTTACAGAGGGGATCCGCGGCCCCTTATATCCCTGAGAATCCCTATCTAAGATCGTTTAGCAATCTCTAGACGGTCGGGTGTTAAGATCATTTCGTTTTGGGAGTGATGCGGCCAGATTTCGTAAGCGGGGACCTCTGACTATGCGAAGTCAAATGGCTATTGGGAATGTAATAATATTGTTCCGCCGGCTAAGATCACTCACTACGCAACTGTTCCTTCTTGATGGGTCAACCCTGGTCAGAGGCAAACTAGGCCATTTACCCTACAGAACCGGATAACACACTAAAGAGTCTTCTCTGCCCCTCAAGCAAACGCTACGGATGCATTGTAAACCTGAAAGAAGGCATAGATATGCTGGCAGGCATTGTCTAATACTCTAATAGGTTCAACAAGAAGCGTTCTACCAAGTTTCACTCTTCATACCTCGTTACCGTTTTGTAGATATGTTTGAATTTTTTGGCCGTAGGCGATGATCAGTGATATGGCTTGATTTTCAGCTCAGCCACGACAGAGCCGTTTACCTTACGTGGATTGTTTTTCCAACAGCTACCGGTGATGATGTTCAATTTAATTGATATATGCCATATTTTTTCTTCTTTTCTCGCTGGAAGCTCTGACGCAGGCTGTTAGATCCCACTTGAGCCATCTTGGTGCTCACTGAGAACGGCTTGCAAGGAGGAATTTATGAAAATATAATTATTAGACTATTCAAGGCAATAGAAAGAGACGATAGTAACGTGTGTTTATTAAATAGGCATTGCCACTCATAACACGTTATAGGGGATATTAATAAAGCCCCCGCTTTGGTGTGGGATAGGTGATGATTCTTAGGTCCAAGAAGCGGGCTATTGTAGCCACACAACCCGAGGTTTCTTGCGAACGCTTCGGACATCTCCGAGCTCGCCACCTTTTCGCGAGGCGTACAGAACAATGATACGTCATATTGGGCGCTTTGGCCTTCCATGGGTGAAGGGCAACGAACCTCCGGAGTGCCTCTGCCTCTATATTTAGTCCATAAGGATCTAAGGAAGCATGCTGAAACTGCATAGGTAAAAGTGCCCATGTAAGGACGAGGCGTCTTTTGTATTTCATAGGGTGTGCGATCAGGGAAGCCGCTTCCACTCACGCTTAGCTACCTGCTGCTCCTCATATTGTCTCTCTGTATCCGAAGATCTCCATTCACCATGTATCGTCCGATAACCAATGAGAGCATTTAATCTCCCATACCTTCGCTTGATTATTACTATAATCTAGATTCTGATAGCAAGGATAATTCTCATAAGGAACTATTCTATCGACTCCCATAGGATAACATAAACCAGATAATACTCTATTATTATTCCTTCTTAGTAGCTCTAAGGCTGCGGAAAGGCTCCTCTTTCCGCATTTCTCGTATATAAGACCTAAGCATAGCTGGTGATAGCTGTAGCATGGTTTCCTCAAGATATCCTTCTATCTCAAGCTGTCCTTGATTACCATCTATAATAATATCACCTTTGCGTACTTTTAACTCTTCATCATGGTAAAATAATATCTCTGTCTCGTTATTAGAGATCAGAGGATCCCTATGGAAAAAGGCTCCAAAAAGAACCTGTTCAATATTTAATTTAAAAGATTTGCAGTGTACCTCCAATGTTTCCAGATCTAGATCTCCGTGCAGGCGAACAGTTCGGCGACAGCCGCGATGACGCTTGACTTCCCGGTGCCACCTTCGCCTCCGACGAATAAGCAGAGCTGGGCGGTGCCGCTCTCATCCCGGCGAACTTGGTCAAGTTGGTGGCAGATCAGCCAGAGGGCGAGGCTCTGCCTTCGGTTGAGCGTCAAGGAATCGGCCACCAGCCTCCCCACTTCACAGAACGATGTGGACGGGCCGAACCCGATTCTCGTTGACGGTTCCGCGTCCCGCGATGGCCATGTGCAATCGCCTTCCGCTGTAGAGCCGTCTTCTCGGCCGCGGCTATTTGACCTGCTCTGCATTCCCTGGATCGCCTTCTCCCGCTCGCGGGAGAGACCGGCCTGCTGCGCCTTGATAGATCTTAACTGCTCCTGCCCTGGGGTTTCCGCTCCCGAGATGGCCCCTTCTAGGATACCGACGGTCCTTGCTTCGGCCTCGGGGAAGACCGTACTATAGAGGTCGTCCCCCGACTCTAGAGCGGCCGCCTAGAAGCGGTACATTTGCTCTACCATTGCAAAGATCTCCTTCGAGCCGGCCGTAATCTCGTTAGCGGATATCGCGTTTCTCATTACGTCTATCAGGCGTGTCGCCGTCCCGACCGTACCTGACTGGTAGGCTGCGCTTTGTGCGTGGTCCCTTTCGGCACTACCTGATTCAGCTGCGTCAATGACGGGTTCGAGCTCACCGGACAATGCCGCCCATTGTTTGGCATCCTGCGCCACGTCCTCGGCCGACCGCCGCAGCAATTGGACGTTGTCCACTAGCCACGAGACGCGCTTGGGTAAACATGCTCTTTTTCTGTCCCAAATGCTGTTTATTTCGCCGGACGTCTCGCACAAGAACGCCTGCCATGGGACGAAGAGGGCAAGATGTTGCACTGCTGCTCTGAAGCCAGGGACACCCCCGTCAGCTCTCTGCTATGCACTCTCGTCGCTATGGGGGTGCGCCTTATACCTCCTGTGGTAAGAGCCATCCTCCTCAGTGAAATCCATGCCCAGGTATCCGTCGAAGCAGAGGGTTGCATGCTGCCCTGGCCGCCGCAGCACCTGAACCCACGATCTTGATAGCGGCCAGGAGCTGTCGAGTTCGATCTCACCCCAAGCAGCACCTTGCCCTTTCCGCTTCAGCCTGACCACCGACATGTAGTCGTAAAGAGCTAGGCCTTCTAGAAGCCGACCGCGATGTGGATATGCCTGCAACAACGAGACCCTCTGTCCGTCTTCTCCTAGCAGGACCGTCTCTTCGACTGGCTCCTTCAGGCTCTCTCCGCCGGCTGCACGCCGCAGGAGCGGCCACCGCCGAAATATGTGCCAGTACAGAGTGCACACGTTGAGAAACGTCCAGGCGTTGCTGCTTGTAAACTCTGTCCCATACCCCTGAAAATGGGCCACTACCTCGACCTGCGACAAAGCCCGCTCCGTGAAGATCCTGTTGGCCACGCGCAGGAGGAATTGCCGCGCTCGGTTCCCTCGGCCATCACTCTCGGTCGAGCGCGGCTCTTCATTCGACTGATCCGTCATTGTCCCGTAGCCCACGAGCCGAAACAGTTCCTTAGCCGCTACCACAGTCCGTCACACCGCCTGAGGCTTGCTCACAGTACACGTCCCAACGGACTCAATAGAACTTTAGTGTCAAGAAGCCAATATCCATCACAAAGCTCCCATCAGATACAACATAGGAATACTCTAGCAACTGTTTTTTTTTGTATCTTCTTATTCTTCTCGAAATTAGGTATGTATATCTTACACTCTATATCTTTCATAATATAAGAAACCTTTACTATAGCTAGTTATTCTAAGGTATTGAAATATAATCGGCCCCTGATGAATGGAGATATTTATATAAAATATCCTCCACGAGTCCAGGATCTCTGCTTTCTTCAAGAGCGGCGGCAAGCTAGCCTAGGCGTGCCTCTCGATGTTGCTTTGAAGAATGCTATCCATTCAAACCTGGGCGGGAAGACGTATCTGGAAGTCATCGGCATTTCCGAAGAACACAGGGAGATCCCGGATCGAGAACATTGTACAGATATTCATCACGATGTCTGTTTTGACCTATTGAATAGATACGTAATGGCTCTATGTCTGAGGCGAGTATAAGCGATGCCGCACGCGAGAGGTTCCATCTCGCTACCTCGTGCAAGGAATGGCAGCAAATACGAAATGCGTCGGAAAGTCGTCACCATAGAGCCACAGGGCGATACAGTTAACAAACGAAGCAACACGCTTTCGGCCAAATGGAAGGGATTAGCATGGTGGGTGGTTGCGTACGCATCCAGTTGACAAGATTTTGGTGGATGATATTTTCCTCTATGCTCCGAAACAGGGCTCCTTGTCTTCCGATCATGAACTATCCTGCGACGAGTTCCAGCCTCCCATTCTCTTGATTACTCTGGAACCGAGGAGTAAGGTGGTATCTTTTCCAAGGAGTGCAGTTGAGCTATCATACCTCCAGTTTGACAAAGGAACCAGGCCTGTCAGAGAGGGCGATATTTCGGTCGAGGCGCGGACGTCTCGATCGTTTGTTTCAAAAGGGAAGGAGTGACTGCCTAGGGAGGTCTCAGGCCGTCAAGTTTAACCAGGGAAGATGAGGGCAAGCTGAGTTACACTCGTCCGAGGTAATGTGGTTTTCGGTAATTGGCCCTAGTGCGATGTTCTTCTTGCAGGAGTTAGAGCTAGTAGTATCCCCAAGTGAGGAGTGGGATGCTCGATCTTCCGAGTCATCCATACGCTTCGTGAATCAGGTGCAGCTCTGCTGATCGGCCTCGCCCCTCCCTGCTACCCGATCAAGCCTTGCCATCAAGACTATCCCTTATGATGGTATGCCAGGGCGGCTGCCATATATAAGGAAATAGCATCAGCTGCTTTGATCTCTTCTATATGGATCCTATTCGCCCTACTTTACGGCTCGGATTCGAGATCGCCAGTCGTGGCTATTATTTTTGCTGATATTTCAGAATCTTTCTCTGTCTCAATGTCCTCCCCATATTCACTGCTATTACTTGTACTATTCTTACTGTAATTCTTATTCTATAATATATTTATCATTCCGGCGGTAGTTATCACTCCGCGGTGTAGCAAAACGGAGAAGACTCCTTCGTACAACATGTGTTAAGTTGGCCCATATGATAAAACCTGTTCATAACCCGTGCCCTGTTCCTGGCCTTTACTGTTCCTGAAGAGATAAATAAACCCAAATTATCTTTTCTTTCTTCCTTAGTATCGCCAATTACCTCCAGGCCCATAACCTCCTGGGCATCCCGGTGCACCATATACGCCACCTGCAATCCATAAAATACCTAGTCATCATTAGTCTAGATAATCTCAAGGTCTGTTAATTTTCTTACAATCAACAAAGGCCCAGATACCCAAGCCTCCAGCTATGAATAACTTGAACACAGCAAGTACCCAGTGGTGTGCATACCATTGATCAATGCCGAGGAATCCTAATAGTACAGCGAGAAGCATTGCAATACGTTCTTGGCGGTAACATTGTTCACTGGTTAGCTGCTCATCAAATCCTCCCCAGGATCGCTTAACTACAAATGCCGGCGTATCAATCCTCAGGCTTCCGCTGTATTGAATGTAAATGTAGAAGATAGCAACAGAGAAGTAATATAAGATTAAAAGAGAGAAAATTAATATAAATCGATGTTTGGGTAGCCGTAAAAGTAATTCGTGTTGAATAATGGCGCTACTACAAGAGTCATTTTTTTTAATAATTGGGAATGCATGACACAGATGAAGCTATATGCACGGTATCTAGGTCCATACAGTACAAGAGCATTAGCTATATAAATAGAGGATCCCCTCAGGTTCTCTCCCAGACGGCTATATCACGCCATTAAATCTGATTTTCCTTGGATATCAGAGATCGTCCATCAATTTTCAGTCACCTCAGATACATAGGCAGCCACCTCCTCGTGATTGTTTGATCATGGACGGAAAAGGCCAGAAAAGATAATCTAACCCCTCAAACCCCTACGCTATGCCATGATGTACTAATGTAGGAGCCGCCAACTGACTAGTATGTCGCTTCTAACACCTCTTGAGGGGACGCTCACGTATTATTATGGTGAATTTCCAGTGGTTGCCCAGACACACTTCGGACCTATCGAGGTACTAGTATCTACTCCACATCACTCACAAAGGAGATATGATAACCCAGGTGAGTGTGTCCGTTGACCACTATGTGGCATTGCTGATCATGATCTGAAGATGTGCCGACTTGTGAGGGATACAGGCAGCTTTCAAATTAGTGCTGCTTTGAAAGCTATATGCTTATGCTTTGGAGAGGACAGAGACAGTGCATGCATGCCCTCTCTCGTTAATTGAGTCACATTGCATTTTCAAGAAGCTTGAGATACATAAGCCCCCGACTCCAATGCCTTTATTCTCCAACTGGCATCGTCTATTATGCATACGCAACTATTATCGTGTAAGTCTCAACCCCCGCCAGGTTGGTTTCTACAATAAGGTAACCATTGATGTCGATATCAGTTAGCGCTATTAGAGGAAGGGCACAAATGTGAGGGTTCGGAGTGCTACACAGTGTTACATAAGTATGGTCAGGCGGACTCGTTAGCTGTATTACGTCGATAAAAGTGCACTGCCATAACAGGCGCAGGGTAGGAGGATGCTTTGATGTACAGAATTCGGCCGTCACTCTGGGTTTCCGTTGCTTAGCCCCTGGTCTAAGGCTATGCTCTTAGCTAGTGCGTCGTACATCTGTGCCGCTAAGCAGACTTACATTACCTTCAGAGACAAACTTTATTAGAGAATCCCTAGCAATATTGTACTGTAACAACTGCGGATCTTCCAATTACGCATCTGATTCATCTAATGACGAATCTGGTTCATCGGACTGACTGTCAATTATTAGATAGAAAAATCAAACCGTATTTAGGGTCCAGCTACCGTTTTCTGGGAGATAAGCCGTAATAAGGGCCTAAAGAAAATCCTGGTCCATCCAAATAATATAAAGTGGAAACATCCCGCCTTATCTCTATTATTTTTCAGTCCATGTTGACAATGCTGCAAATGAAACTCATAATTTTCTTCACTCTTGGTGCTCTGAACATCTTAGTTAAAGCACATATGAAGGTGAATGTTCCAAACGCCTATGGTAAATCTACTCTCAATAATAGTCCGTTGCTAGCTGATGGTACAGATTTCCCCTGTAAACAACGTCCTGGTGTATATGAATTAGAGGGAGTATCAAATGTATATGCTTTGGGCTCCACTAACCCGCTTACCTTTATTGGTCAAGCTGTCCACGGGGGGGGGGGGGGCTCTTGCCAAATAGCAATCACTTATGATAGTCAACCTACTAGAAACTCTATCTGGAAGGTAGTTCGATCTATTGAGGGGGGTTGTCCAGCACAGAATCAAGCAGGCAACATGGGAAATGACCCTAACGCAGCAGATCCTTACCAATATGATTTTACGATCCCATCTGATATTCCAGCAGGGACTGGAACCATTGCATGGACTTGGTTCAATAAAATTGGGAACCGTGAAATGTACATGAACTGTGGACCTCTTACTTTGACTGGTACGGGAGGTGCGAAGAAGAACTTCGATAATTTGCCAGACATGTTTGTAGCGAATATAAATAATGGATGTTCTGTCCCGGATAGCAAGGATGTAGCTTTTCCAGAGCCGGGGAAATCAGTTACAAGAATGAATGGCGGTACGGATGCATTTGCTGCACCAACAGGTTCTTGCAGCCCTGCAAGGAACACCAAATCTGTTTCAACACCGGGTTTGACAACCGTGATATCCAATACTCTAACCACGAGCCTTACATTTCCAAGTACAACGCAGTCCTCCACCACTGGGGGCACTCAGGATTCAGTTATGATGTGTACAAACGAAGGATGGTGGCATTGCATCAATGGTACCTCTTTCCGACGTTGTGCCTCGGGCAGATGGAGCTTACCACAGCCGCTTGCTGTCGGAACATCCTGTACGCTGGGAATTCATGCGACGTTATTCTAGATTGCTCTTTTATATTATATCATAAATAAGAGAGATGATCTCCGATAACCTATTTCTATGATGTGATGCTATTCAAGTCTAGGGACACTGATAATGGGGAGGTGATCACTTCTCAGAGTAGATGAACAGAACTCGTTTTGCTAAAGGGGAAAGAGATGAATTTTGCTAAAGATTATACTCTAAATAGTAGGGGGAAAGATAAGCCTAAGATAGTAGGTGGTGATGAACTGTATGCTGCGAGACTTTCCGAGAGAAGATGAAGAGAGCCCATAAAGTAGAAGAAATTGCGAAAATCTGCAGAAAATAGCATAAAATCAAAACCGCCGTCAGCTTCTGGCGTAACCCGCCTCGTATCTGCTTCTCTTCATCCATGATCTTGTGTTCCTTGCTGTTCAGTGGTGGGAGGGGGTATCCACTTCTTGGCTGATTCTTCCTTTCGTCCAAAGGAACCACAATCTCCCCTGTCTGTTTTCGATATTCTTCTTCTTTCTTCTTTTCCTCGTACGCGAGAGAGATATTGTGTTCCTTGCCACTCAAGGTACGAAGCAGAGTGAAAAAAGGGGAACAATCTTGCTTGACCACTGTAGTACCCGATGGACCAGGTATGACCCAGCCATCCGCCCTGATCCGCAAACCCGAACATAGAAAACGAGGTTTGCGGGATTTTGGGCTTGTAAAGTGAGCTTGGGAAGCAAGGATCGTTGTCCACGGCAGCCATTGATGGAACTGTTTCCTTGTCCTTGGCTCTTGGGTATAAAGACTGACGAGTATTTGAATTGATTCATGGAAGAAGTTTTTCTTTACTTTCTCGGGTAATAGTTTCATCTTATGAAAAAACTTGGGGACGCCAATTAAGAGCCGTATGAAATCGCCCACTCGGACTAGACCCTGGCGTTGGTGAAAGCAAGAAGAAAGATCATGCAGCCCAAGGAGAATAACGTCATGTAGCTCCATTAGAGTCTTGATACAGAGAGTAAGCACTGACTCAGACTGGTGAATCATCCAAGGCTCAGGATCAGCTTTCAGATGTGCCAACTTGGACCATTTGGAAAAGTACATGCGCAGTCCAGCTTCCACACCCTTGGTCTCAGGATCAAGAGGTAGAGGTGTAGTGCCTGTGCTTTGAAATTGAATATAATTTAGCTTTGGCCATAGGGTGGGATAGTTCGAAGAACACTTACGAGAGTGATTCGTTCGACATTGTGATGAAGGGGTGAGTTGGCAGGGACGAGAAAGTAGGAGAATAAATGGGCAAGCAAGGTGAGCAGGCATATAAATAGTAGTGCTGGCTCGGGCCGATTCATTTATCCGAAGTGCCGAGAAATGCGGTAATTGCATATGTATGTATTCAGAGGGCGTAAGATTCAATGGAGATATCATTGGTATCTTGGAAGGAGTTGGATAATAGTCAACCCTAGTGAGAAACTAGGGCCCTTTTTGGCCGCAGAGGGATAGAAAAGCTCGTGGAAATGCATGTTGGGGCATGCAATGAGGCTCATAAGTAGGAAAAAAAACATGTTTTGTTCATTTTTAGATTTGTATGTTAAGGAAGATCCCTTTCTACTTTCTTCTTTAGGTTACATAACCCAAGGCCACTCAATAGCGTTCATTTATCACCAAATTCTATGAATTATCCTGGACTATCCGTTTCCAACTACTCTGCGATAACCCTCAACGAAAGACTCCCAGCGTGATATGACAAAGACACCCCACGTATCCATGCCTAGCAAGTACGTTGCGCCTTGCATCTCTCTGATTACTTCCTCTCCCCGCCCATCAAATAGTGCTCGCGTCTCTTTCTCATTGTAGCCGGCAAGGTCTGCAAACGTCGCTAATAGCAAACACTTGCTATGCTTTTCTTTATCTCTCTTTTCACTCGACCAAGCTCTTGTACCAACCAAGATTTAGACTTCTAGCTCCAGTCGTGAATTCTCTCCTTCTCTGCGTAGACTAGATAAATGCCAAAGGATATCCACACTCTATATCCCGACGGCCCATAATACCCATGTCCAGAATGTCCATTCCCTTCATAAAGCACTCATCGACGTAACCCCTTACTTCAGTCTCAAACGTACTGTACCTCGCCTGGGTTTGGGAGCTTGCAATATGTACAGCAAGATGTACATGAGCCTGCTTCTCTTCCCCGTTGTCCTTACTCGACAAATCCCACCAAGCTTGAAGCGCAACACGGGCTATGGTCCAACTTCCATTCGCAATAATTAACCGTAACTGAACACGACAAGAGCCTAGCTTTTCGAAAGCTTCGCGGATAGAAGAGAGGTACTTATAGGCTGCAAAAAGCGCGGTGTGTCGATCATCGCCCAGGCATTGGAAAAGCAGGAAGAAGCAGAAAAGATATAAGGAGTCTCGACAGGCGCGTAACCGGCTCAGTACTGTTGATGCCTCGGATAGTGCATGTAAAGAACGCCTGAAGCCAACCATCGCTTCGCTCCCAGTAGCGCCGTGGCCAGCACGTTCAAGCTGCTTGATTGTATCTCTCATGGCTTTGTCTTGGTTGACCATGGGCCGTTCGAGTACCATCTGGCATATGAACGCGGCAAAGATAACACCTACCGTAATCAGGCAGCCGACCCAGGAGAAGAGGCGATAGAAGAATTGAAAAAGGATCACTGTGTTTCGTATTGCTTTATCGGATGCCTCGATAAGTGCCTCGGGCTTGCACTTCCGGACCTTGCTGAAGAGTGCTTCCCCCAATCCTCTGGTATTTGGTTGGCCATGTTCGAAGTTCGCAGCAGCTTCTGTCATAGTTTCTTCAATTTGCCTGCGAAATGGCTCGACTCGCGTCGGGTGTGCGCTCATAAATCTCTGCATGCAGAGAATAATCTTTTTCTCTTCTGCAACAACTCTTTCGTCCACACTCTCCGCATGAGTGACTGTTTTAGCGTGATGAAGATACACCAGGGAGGCATAGTTGATTGCTATTGTTGCAATGTACGGCTTGGTGAGATTGATGATGAGCCCTGGGAGTTCATAGAGAAGAAACACAAATCCTTGTTTGTGCAATTCCAGATAAGGAACAAGCAAGGGGGTGGTGATGGCCAGGGTAATGGTGGCAAGTAGGCAGATACAGGCAGCCGCTGGAGCGACCGATAATCCCTTACGATTGTTTGACGCCATAGTTGCGAACCAAATCATAAGGCAGACGAGGCAACCAAAGACGAAGATGCAATTCTCTGCGGGTACCCAGATTATATGCTTTCCGTCCTTGATCAGTCAACGGGGCAGTCTGACACATCACGTCAATCATGGTTTGTGCCGGGTGAAGCGGGGGAGGACCGAGCAGGCCCAGATGCAACTCACAGCATACATCAAGCCTACAGACAAGATAATCCAAACATTACTTCTGCCTCCACTATATATGGTATTCCTCTATATCAACTGACCACTTTTAAGCCATTCCGGAAATGAGCCAATAATTACCCAAGGTCCTCAAGGTAGAATCGGATCACGTAATGCACTGAAACAGTAGTAGAATCTGATAAAGATGTTTCCTTATGCTTTAGTATGGCTGAGCAGCATTCCTAGACTTGAAAAGCTAAGGTAGAATGGTCGCACTCTGTCAGACCAAGAAGTATCACTGAAATCACCCTCCAACGATGCAGGGATTGAATCAGGCAATGGTGCTGACGAGCCTTTCAACCCAAACAGTTGCAACTGCGGGTCGAAAGATACCAGTATCAACATTGGTTCTGCCTCTTTTGATCGGCTGTTGCTTAAATACAATATATGTCTGTCATCCGCTGACCAGGCCTTGACAGAGCCATCACCAAAAGGATTGAGAATAAGAAGGGATTTTACCTCCTCATAGGATGGCCATGTATTGATGTTTCCACCGCTTTCGCCTTGCCTCCCTGACCTCGATCGTAAGTAGAGCTGCGGCTGCCGTGAAGTATCCGAAGTTCTGATAAGATCAACAAAGCATCCACTCAAGAAATTGTACCAACGAATGGGTATATTCGTAGACGTTGAGACACCACCTGTTAAACCCTGATCCCCGATATGAACTGTCACGGTCTCGTCTCTCGTAAATTTGTTACCAGGGGGGCTGATTTCTTTTTGGTAGCAGAATCTTTGGCTATAGCCAGCAGCCGTGACTTCCTTTCCTGTTTCCTTGATGAATATCTTGCCAGTCCTTTCGCATTGCACTAGGTCAATGGTAGACCAGCTATTGTCAATGGAACTACCATTCCTAACTATCCTCTGCAATGGAGCCTCGGGGAGAATCTGGTCGGAAGGATGGTTGCCTATTCGAAAGCGAAACATCGAGTAGAATGAACTTTGCGGGCCGTTGACGGGAATTGTTGATACACCGTAAAAATAATCGTCAATAATTTTAAAGGTCGTGTCCTGCCCTACTTCACTACCAAAAATCTCTGGTAGGAAAAAGGGTGAGGACACCCGCCCTGATGTAATATGGAGTTGTCGTACACTCCATTGTTCATTGTTCACTCCATGAACAATGACACCAAAATAGGTAGTCCTCGGTATTTCTTACAAAGATTCGACGAGTGGACACCAGCTCGCACAATCGGACCACCTCCCGCTCAGCATGGCATGAGATAAGCCAGTATTGTGTGTTCTCGCCTTGTAATAAGCAAGAGACAAAACCACACGCATAGTGCAACAGTTCGACTCCCTCCAATATAAACCCATCTAAATGAGTAGCTTGGAGCATTCTTTGCAGATCGATAGCTATCTCTTCTGTGACAGATCCTTGAAGACGGAGAGTTCGTATAGTTTGCCCAACACAATACACCACGACGCTATCGTTGTAGATAAAGCTAGTGCAAACAGCAATCGCAGACAGCAACCATGGACGAGCTGTCTTCACTGCAATAGTCCGCTTTATAAGAGACCTCCAAGCTCTAGCATCTGAACCCGGGTTGACGGAGAATGGTGCATAGGTCTAGATTGGTTAGTGAAAGTTATACCCAATAGAAATTGTCACCGACCAAAAGATTCTGCCGACATATCTTATCGTCAAGAAAGAAATTAAGGCGTTTGCAGCACAGGCCTAAATGAAATTGATCCTCTATCTCGAGGAATCCCATAATACCCAAGAGGATATCGCTTGGAAGATTCGAGAATTCCATCTTGAGATGCACTCTAGGGAGATGAGATTTGACCTCCAGAGGTTAGCTTGATCACATACACCAGGAAACGGCCCTTGATTGCTGTAGCTCCTGATATCTAGCTATGACCAGTATTGTTTGCTAACAACAGTAGGAGAGCACCGTTTCTGGGTCTCAATATGATTTGGGCACCGTGATTATCAGAGTTGAAGTGCTCACAGCTGAATTCCTGCTGTAGTGTCAGCCCTAGTAGCTTGATTGAAGACTGGCGCAGGTGACTCACATCAATATAGTTGTACATGCTAGATGACAGAGTTTGAAAAGGGATGCAAATAAAAGAAAGCACAACCACTTCTTATCTACCTGAACGCACATAGACTAAATGAACCGCGTGAAGAATCGGTTTCCGAAGGCCTCTAATCGGCCTTTTTGACTAAGCAACCCTCTTCCCTAAGTAATAGCTCATCACCCACTTCGATCAGTATAAGAGTCTAACTACCTACGTATTTCCTTTGAGATTTAGCACTCGTTCTGAATTCCTTCACGTATTGCATCTACCTTCTTAGCTTTATGGATCTGAAAGTGCTTGCCGAGGAGGCCACCGACCGAATAGCGGACTTCGACGACCTCGGCGGCCGGATCGAGAACCGTCAGGCTGAGCTGGCTGCCAGTGCTGACAATGGCGAAATCGCTCAGACCGAGCCTTTACACAATCAACACCAAACGCCGACCGACTCACCCAAGTCCAACAAGAGAATAATAGCAGCTGCCCCGGAGGGCATGCCTGACGAAGCCATACATGAGAATGCCCCTTCTAAGGGCAATGTGTACTACGACGTCACTGCACAAAATTTCTTTTCTGAGTTTATTCGCTGGATCGAAGAGAACGGGAACCATATTCGAAAGGCCTCCAAAATCACCCCGGTATTCGATAAGCTGGGCGCATCTCACGACCCGAAGGCGATATCATTGATCAATAATAGAAATCAACACATCCAAATGTCAATCTCAGGATCCGGGCTTATCCCTGAAAGCAAGAAGTATACCCCAGATGTATACAAAAAGCTCAATAACAGCCTCATATCTATGCGTAGCGCTGCCGAACGTAGCGCTGACCAGCTCTTGAAATCTGGCAATTGTGAAGATGAGATTAAGGAGATACAGAAGCATTTGCATGAGGTGCGCGAAATAGCTTTGAAGGAGATTGAGCGAAGAGACAAAGAAAAGAAAAGATTGGAGAGTGAAACCAGGTAGAAAATAGTTATGCCCATAGCTAAGGTCCGGTAAATGAACGTGTTAGCCTTGGTGACCTCATTGTAGAAACCAACCTGGCGGGGGTTGAGATTCACACGATAATAGTTGCGTATGTATAATAGACGATGCCAGTTGAAAGCTGCCTGTATCCCTCACAAGTCGGCATATCTTCAGATCATGATCAGCAATGCCACATAGTGGCCAACGGACACACTCACCTGGCTTAAATCCATTGGAGGAACAATTAGAATGCTATGAGTCGGCATATGGGTGACAGCTGCCGTGGGCAAGCTGCCGAAGACCGGAAGATAGTGCGACGTGATGAAGGCCATGTCATTAAGCTTGGAAAGCTTTTTCCGTTCTTTACTCTCTGCGATGCAGACCCTCACGATCTCGCGCCATTGTTCAAGATGCGGAAGGGGCTGCCATTGACACTGCTTGTGGGATAACGAGTGAAACAGCTTAGTCATGGTCCATTGTAAAGTGCAGAAGGCGGCCGGATCCTGCATAGCCACATCAAACCACCCCTCAAGCACGTTGCTAGCTTGAGCGACAGCCCTGTCCAGGCGATCACGGCGTTTTGTCTCTCGAGCCTTGTGATTCCGTAGAAGGGTGGTTGTACCGCCGCCTGGCAGGATCCGCGGGGCCTCCGTGGTGCAATTCAGGTTGCTCATGGTGTTGTGTGAAAGACGAAGTAAAATCGATTGACAGACCGACAGTTCAGCGCCTTATATAGGCTCCCGAAATCTCGTGTAGCCGCCCAACCGCTCCATCACCCGGTCTGGGCAGTGGCTGCATAAGCCATGCATGCATGACTTGCCACTTCGCCTGGGAGGGTGCAGGGTCTGTCATACCGCCTGAGGGTTGCTCACAGTACACGCTCCAACGGACTCAATAGAACTTTGGTGTCAAAAAGCCAATATTCATCACAAAGCTCCCATCAGATAAAACATAGGAAAGCACACGCGTCAGGGCCAGAGCCAGATTTCTAGAGCTCGTCAACTCTCAAAACCATTCAAAAGTTCCTTCCCATGGCCCCAGCTATCCTCCGTCAAGCCTTTATTCACTTCGACTTCGACATCGTCTCTTCACAACTACTCCTGTAATTCTGTCCCCAACATCCAATATGAAACGATGACGCACTCGCAGTAAGTTTGCTTCAAACGGTCCCCGCGGCCAAAACCGGCTTGTGATAAACCCTTGCAATCTCGTTGAGGATATCCACAAGGTTTGCCCAACGAAACAGTATGACTCGTTCAGTTTCCTCACCTACATCCAAATTTTGGGCATGTCGCCTGGAGACCTTCTGGGATATGTAAGCGCGTAAAAGCTCCTCGGCAGCTTTCGAATCGAGATCCGCTCCATAGATTGCGCGCGCGATGGAAATGACGGAAAACACAATGATCACTGGCTCTTTATGATGACGGACACACCGGACGCGAAGCGAAGATTCACAAGTGTCACGCCCCCTTCTCACTCTAGCAACCGTGATCGAGTCGTTCGTGAATGTGAAAAGAGCATGCCTCTCCTTTTCCGTTCCCCAGTCTTTCACCACGCGGTTAAGATTCTCTGCCAAGTCTTCTAGTCGCTGGTCGTGATATGTTGCCTCTGGGCCAGGAACTCTCTCCTCTTTGTCGCGGGAGATGAGAAAGGCCGTGATCCTTTGTTCGCTTTGGTGAGTCCGTCCTTTGGTGGCCTGACACAGATCGCCGCCTCAACTCGGTCAATGGAGGTCGCCACCTCCAACAGCCTTCTGGCTTCATTGCCCCTCTCCACTGCGCCTTTTCTGCTTGTATCTCTGCTTGTTGTCTCAACGAAAGCATATACGCCTGGTTGCTCTCCAACCCCTTGGCCCGTTCCTCTGCCAAGATTTTGGCCTTCTCTGCATCCTCAGCCCGGCATTCTGCGGCGTCCCTGGCATTGACCGCCAAGTTCCTTTCTTCCTGGAGTTTTTCCGCTCGATAATGCGATGCGGCCTCGGACTGAAGCGCCTTCTCGGCTCTTTCATTGGCCAGTGCTTCTGAAATAGCCGCGTTGTATTGTGTCTCGGTCATTACAGAAATCGCTAGTCCCCTTCCATATTCGAGCTTGATGTTTTCTTCTTCTGCTAATTGCAGCGCCTTCCAATTCTGCTGGATTTCTTCGTCTTTCTCCATGACGACGTCTTCCAACGCCTTATACTTGCCTTCGATTTCGCGTAGGCGCTGGAGCAATTCCGCTTTTTCCGACTCCGAGTCCTGGAGTCGCTCCTCTATCAATTTTGTCTCTTGTCTCGCACGGTCGATGTCCCATTTTGTTGTCTCAAGGAGCTGATTAAAAGCCGTTGTCAGTTGTTGCGCGTAATTGTTAACTTTCTCCACGGCCTCCAAGTGATCCGGTATGCCTTGAAATCGGCTTGACTGATGATGTGCATCAATACTCAGCGTGCTGGGTGTGCTGGTTCTCGGACTCTCCATCATAATACGTATATAACTTCAAGTCCGTACAAGCAAACACAGCGTGTAGGTCAATAGTCAGGAAAGGGAAAAAACAGTCGTACAGATCCCCAGTCAAGACCGTGAACGATAGTGCTGGCGTTGGGGTAATCTCCAAGCCGAGCAGAAAGGATGGTAACGGAACAGTATGAAGGATAGACAACAGTAAATCATTGAGCCAGATGAAGGTGAGCGATGAATCTCTTTTTGTGTAACGAAGGAAAGTGAAACTAGGGTGATCAAGTGCGTTGCTAGCCTGAGCGACAGCCCGGTCTAGGCGAATACGGCGTTTTATCTCTCGAGCCTTCTTATCCGGTAGAAATGTGACTGCAATCCCACCGCCGCCTGACAGAATCCGGGGGGTCTCCGTGGTGTAATTCATATTACTCATGGTGTTGAGTGAAAGAGGAAGCAAAATCGATTGACCGACCGACAGTTCAGCGCCTTATATAGACCCCCCGAAACCTCGTGCAGCAACCCAACCGCTCCATCACCACCCGGTCCGGACAGTGGCCGCATGAGCTATGCATGCATGAGTTGCCAACTCGCCTGGGAGAGTACAGGGTCTGTCTTACTGCCTGAGGTTTGCCTTCTCACAGCCCCAACGGGCCCAATAGAGCTTCGGTGTAAAGAAGCCCATATTCATCACAAAGTCCCCATTATATACAGCAAAAAAAAGCATACATACGAAGTCGAGAGCCAGATTGCGAGAACTCGTCAACACTCTCAAAATCCCCTAAAAGCTCCTTCAGATGACCCCAACTATCATCCATCAAGTCTTTATCCACCGTCTCTTCACAACTAAACCTCCATTTTCGTCCCAGTCGTAGCCGATATCTCCGGTAGACCTCCACCACTTTGTAAGTCGAATGACGCCGCGCCCCGGCTCCTTTCATATTACCGAGAACCCGTTGAGCAGCTGGATAGCAGTGCCCGACACGCCCGAGTGGGGACGCCATTCTTAACGGTGCGTCTGGCGGGATTTTGACTGGGTAATCATAAAATGCTCAAGGAACTCAGGCAAATTCCGGCCACATGCAACCTTTGCACCCTGCGTGATGGTCTCGGGTGATCTCTCGTGGAAGAAAACGGCTGACAACGAAGCCTCGACGTCTTTCACCCTTCGGTACTCGAGAGCATGGGCGACGTCCGCTGGCAAAGCTTGGTATAGCCTCGCCGAATACCCAAGTGGCACATACACGTGCATCCCTTGAAGCCAATCCAGCATCTGCCTTGTGACTTGTAATTGCTGTTGCCGCAAGAGAACATCCATTACCTCCCCACTCCAAAGTGAACCAATCATTAGGGGCTTGACAAAGTCAAGCTGAAAGAGATCGCCAAGAATTGCCATGTTGTCGTTGGTTGACAACTTCCAGTTGAACGCATGCTGTAGGCCATCGATTGCTCCACCAGCGAACTCACACAACCCCCGGAGCAGTGACACTTGGTGCATCTCTGCCTTTGGGTCCTCGGCCGGCTCTACCGTCTTAATCGTGTACAATTGTTGGAAGAGCTTGTGCCATGTATCCGGCTTCCTCTCGATCGAGGCTGTCGCTGAAAGATTACTTAAGTTACCCTCAATGTGCAGGCAAAGGAACTGAACCGATACCAAGAACCGATGGCAGGTTTCTGCATCCAATTCCCATTATAGGTTAGTCATCTACTGGAACTATCAACACAGGAGACTCACAAGTATATCAGTAATTAGAATTGCCCAGTGGATGGCTGTTTGCATTCCCTCGTCTAGCGTGGTTCGCTGGTACAGCCGACCCAAGCCTCTGCCGCACCGTGAGTTAATGCCCCTCCCCGCATTCCGGATGAATTGCCGTCGATACTTCTGCCTCGCTTCACGTATGCCATAGGTTATAAAATCTGCAGTGCTGAATTCATCTCCGTGATACTCGACATCGGCCTCAGGCACAAGCTTGAGTCTGACTCCATATTTGCGAATATGTTGGATGCAGGAGTCAGCAAGCGCTACCACGAAGAACTCATCATCTGGTGTCTTTCGAACAACATGGATGAGAGGCAGGTGCTTAATCCGTGTCCAACTAGACCCCTCCCATTGGTTAGCCGGGACAAGGTAGCACTGCCATTCCTCTTTGTCTGGTGACCTTGCTAGTATATCATCAACGTCCCAATGTATTCGCTCGACCGTCTAATATGCATTAGCAAAAGCATGTAACATTGTTACAGGCTTCTTACTTGGTTGATCGATTTCTCACAAAAGATTTGACCAGCTCGGGGGGCGTCATCGGCCAACGATGCCTCTATATTCGGAGACGGTGGCGGTGGGACGGGGGCAGTGGGAGACTCGAGACCAGCAGACGTCCAATCGTCAGGTAGAACATTTCGCGTTGCTGGGGAGGACGGCCAACTCATTCTGCCGAACGTTTTCCCAGAGAGAGACAGGTGAACAGCCATTGGTATGAATAAATCGGAGCTAGTAGTGGTTGGGAGACCGTCAAAAGAATGTACCTACGCCGGGGTATTGCAGGAAGGCAGATAAGGCAACCAGATGCAGCCGCAAAGTGCAAGTCTTGGGGCGTGCTATATAGATATTTGTGACTACCTATAATCCACCCTAACTTGGTTGTGAAAAGAGCATAGGACATGTAAGTGCATGCATCATGCATATGGGGACACTAGGGACCACGAATCGATAGCGCGAACGATATGCAGGCGCTCGTCCCAGCACTTACATTAGACCATCTCCTTGGCCCTCCAGAACGCGCACAGGAGTCTGAACATGCAGCTTCCTACCCTGCTAGGATTACTCCCAAGGTTCACACCCCTGGACACCCTCAACGTAGCCCAGGGGTCGACATTAGAAGTGCATTTTCATGGTGGATGCCCACATATCTGTATGTATATCGTGCTGTTCAGAAAAAGTAAAAACGCCACGCGAATAGGCATTGGCATAATTACGCAAATGTGCTACAAGCAGCACGTATCGAGCGAACCGTCGTTTCTCAATTGGCAAGGTGATTACACGTCTGTATCATCGTTCCCTTGTGTGAATGGCGAGATGCTGACGTCAGCAGATGTCACCTTTTTGCTACTATATGATGGCTTTGTCGACTATAAAAAGACTACGATTTCTCCTGTGTATTTCACCAGATTAGTCCATTCAAACCTTCTACAAAACCAACACCTATTCAGACCAACATCACTTTCATCTATATTATCAAACATGGCCCAGTCTACTCCCTCTGAGCTCGTCAATGGGGTACAGTGTTCTAATACCGACTGCACCTACAACAACCCCAGTTACGCCAAGGTGTGCGAGAAATGCGGAGATCCGATTTGATACTCTCTCCGAAGATTAAAAGACTTTCGAAGCCCAGTCCGATACTGGCCATTCGATGTTGTGTTTGAGCCTTTCGCACCATCATGGCCAAGCTTCAGTCTTTTCCATACATCAGGTTTCAGCCGGTTGGGACGATGTTGTTTCGAGTAGTGGCGACGGATAACGATCTAAGAGCGGGGATGAGTTATATATATATTTTCTCGCAGCTAGCTAAATACAACTTGTGAGATCTTTCAAGCCATACCCTTGTACCAATTTTGAAACTCAATGTCCAGTCGCTTGTAGCCATGGAGTTCGAGTGCCTGTCCTAGAAGCTGTCCCCAGAGCTGCTGATTATCAGTTTCACATTCCAGTTTGAAAGCTCCAAGAGAAGTCTTGGTTGCTACCCAGAAACGTGGGTAATAAGCTGCAGACTCCCAGTCTATAATCCCAGAAACTTTTCCATCCTCTAGCACAATGATATTTTTTGGTCCAAGGTCGGCATGATAGAAGTGGAATAGCAGGCTGACACTAGGAGGGGGTTCCTTTGAAATTTTTATCATATAAGCCTGCATCTCCTGTACTGATAAGGGGCCAAGTAATCTTGGCAGCCAGAGAGGATGCTGTGTTGGTGGCTTATCCTGAAGCCATGGCTCACGAACTCCGTAGCCATTGATCGTTTGAAAAGAAGGTGCAGTGTTAAGAGCAAGCTTAACAATATAATTAGCAATATCCTTCGCAACTTGGGTCCGTTGGGATAAGGATAGTCGCGGCCATGCTTGGTCCAAGGTTTGTCCGCTGACTCGTTTGGTGATGAGAAAGTTTCTGTTGATATCATGATCAATCCAGCTATAAATAACATCTGGCACAGGAACCTCAGGTGCCTTGTCTTTCACAAATTGAATGTTATTAGACTCAAGCTCCATACCCTCACGCCAAGCATGGACTTTAAAAAAGCATTGTCCAATACACCAAACTGCGGCTGAAACCCCAGCAACATACACCCTACCAAACTGTGCGTCCCCTTCTGCCGTAATGTCATCTGGGGTCCTTTCGCGAACATAGAAGGTTTCTCCTTCGTCTTCCCAAGTAGCGAGGGCATCAGCTGGTTTAGATAAGGACGTTTGGACTCTCTCGCACATCATTGTAGAGCCAAGAGTCCATTGACCGGGGCTTATCCGAGTAATCGAATGCCCGATTGGAGGCGTCATTTCACTATCACTGCATTAGAGGTATTTCACCAATAGTATTTCGGTCTGGACCTACCAAACCATAACGGCTTATAGTTTATTGTGTATCGACCTTTGTAGTTGTGGCAGAAAGGAAGACGATGAAGTTAGAGCAGATAAGCTATTAATGTCATGTGCTACAACCGAGGTAGGGAGGGGTAGGGAAAGGAAAATCCCCTTGTCTCAGTCAACATGAATGATCAAACCGAAGAAGTGGCGCTCGGTAGGATATTGCGGTGTGAGGCGGCTGAGGCAATTGACAAGGAGATCCAAGCTGAAATTTTGATTGCCCAAAAGGGGGGAAGTGAATGTAAGAAACGCGATTGCAGAACTCGGCTCGTGACACTTAGGCGAGCAGAATCACTCGCTATCTGTGCGGGGTGATCTGTGCCCTTTATGATTGACGATTAGGCATCCAAGTTCATGGTTGGGAACTGTGGGTACATCTATCCCCGCCATGGGCAATTGTGGCGGTCCTCTGAAACTGTCTTGCCCACTGGACCGAATGCTGCTGAAGTGGCCGCTGACCCAGTTTGACACAATGTTTGGGTACATTCTAGCTAGGGTGTGCCCAAAAAAGGGGGCCTTGTTTCAGCTCTAGTGACCATGCAGCTTACCATATGGTTCGGTATGGAATGGGTTCTTGACTTGCTTTCGCCGATGTGGGGCTGCTTGAAGTGCCAGCACATATCAATATCTGACTGAGTCATAAATCCCGCCGCCACCGCCAATAAGAGATGAGCTTGAGCGGTAGCAAGTAATAATTATAGCAGTAAAACATGAAAATGGGTGGTATAGTACCATCAAACCCATGATATTTGATTCCATATTAAATGGAGTGTCGGGAATGGAGGCTGTGGACCAAAGGAAAATACTAAATACAACAGACCGGTGGAAAAAAAAGTTCCAGTAGGATGTACATTGTGCTTTGTAGTATGTCACGGTGGAACAAGAGCACCAGCTCCAGGGAGAAATGAAAATAAGAAAGAATAGCTATACACAATGAATAAGATGGGTGGAATGAGACAGAAGAGGCGTCCGCTAGTTGACAAGGAACATCTATTCGGTCAAGGCTTACTATATGTGTCTCCTCGATAATAATGTGGTATCTCCTTTATCATAACTTCGGGGGTCTGCGTCCATTGTAGCTGACCCGGTTAGGCCCACTCTTTATCTCCATTCTAGCTAGAGACGGGGGCAGTGGAAGACTCAGGATCATTTTCCGTTACGGGGGAGGGCGGCCGTCTCAGTCTGCCGAACGTTTCCCCAGAGAGGGACAGGTGAACTGTCATCAGTATGATGAATAAGTTGGAGCTAGTGGTGGCTGGGAGACCGTCAGAACCATGTACCTACGCTAGGTTTTTGCAGAAAGGCAGACAAGGCAACCAGATACAGCCGCAAAGTGCAAGTCATCGAGCGGGCTACGTAGATATTTGTACCTACCTGTAGACTCTTACAACCCAACTTGGTTTGTGAAAAGAGCATGGATCATATGAGTGTATCCGTCATGCATACGGGGACAGCAGGGACTACGGATCGATAGCTCGAACGGTATACAAACGCTCGTCCCGGTTTTTACACTGCCCCCCCCAGAAGGCGCACAGGGGGGTCTAAACATGCAGCGTCCTATCCTACCAGGATAACTCCAAAGGTTCATACCCCTGGGGACCCTCTACGTAGAAGGTCCCCAGGGGTGTGAGTCATTTGCCATATTACTCACACCCCTGGGGACCTTCTACGTAGAAGGTCCCCAGGGGTACGAGTTATTTATGGGTCTACCACTATTTCTAGGCGCTCACCATTCCTGTTCTCTTTGCTAGGATCTGGCTCTCTATCACGGGTCATGATGATAGTCTCTCACCCCGATCCAGATCCCTCGACAGGTTCACTACGGCTGATTCTTTCGAATAGAGACCACAGGGAGGCCATAGATATATGTTTGAAATTTTTCAATCTGACCGAGTATGGCGACCAGTATCGTGTATGCCACATTACCAGCTCGCCGTGCTGCCCTTCTGGCCTTGATATCACCACAGTCAAGCAAGGTGTAAGACAAACGTGCGACGAGATATTTGGAGCTGGGTATTGGGTCTTCGGCCCGTGCGTGCAAATTATTCACCACAAGATTGACCCACGCTAATGCTGTTATAGGCACGAACGCGGCTCTCCAGCAAAACCGAATGGTTGTTCATGTGCCGACTGGAATGGCGAGGGCCGATGGCAAGAACAAACTAGTCTTCCAAAACGCATAACGATCGAGCAACAAGAGCCCATTGAGGCTAACAAGGGCAAACGGGGCTCTAGCAGTCGGGCAAAGCGGAGGCGCATCGCCAGCAATTCCAGCAATGGCGCAAGCCGAGCCAAGCGGATGCACATCGACAACAATACCGAACTCAATAACGAGAGCGAGAGCGACGAGAGCGACGAGAGCTCAAGCAGTCGGGCCAACTCAGAGGCTAGAAGCGAGAGTGAGACCAACAACGAAGGAGACGGCGAGAGCAATCCTGGAGAGACTCATAATAAGGTCCCAGTTCCTGATCCCCTCAACGCTTTTGTCGAGCTGTTCGTCAAGAAAGTCGTGAGTGGCTTGAACAAGCTGAAGAAACGACAGTACGAAAAAACAAGGAAAAACGCGAATATTGGCCGTCAACTTGTTGAACAGCTAGAGAAAGTGAAGGATGATCATGGTTTGGAGCTTGAGTCCATTCTTCACACTTTTCAAACGCAACAGAAGTCGGTAACGTGGCTAGCTGAGCTTTATCATTGCCATGTCTCGTTTAGACGACGTCGAATCAATCCAGCACATTCCGAGACGGGTGATTGCGATCGGGAAACGCTTATTAAAAGGAAAGAGACTTTTTGTGAGCTTTTGAGCTTGGTAATTAATGGTCTTGAGCCGAAATGGGGAGTGTGTGCCAGTTTGGTATATAACGCGCTCGAAGGTACGGAGGCAGTCTTACTCTATCGTCAAGGTACTAACGGTCGCAGAAACAAAGTTCAAAGCATCAGGGCTATACAAATCCGTGCGGAAAGCCGGCTGTGTTAACGCTGCAAAACTAATAGTGGAACGACTATTAAATAAAAAGCAGAATCCGAAGATTCTTATACCAGAAGATACACTTGTACTAAACCCAGCATTCTTCATCATATGTGTTATGGATATTTCGTGAGTCGCTTCATAATAAATAATCATGGTTTAATAACTGATAACGCTTAGACCGATAGAAGCCTTCGCAGATCTTAACATCGCCGGTCTTGGACAATACGATATCCTGGAAGAAGTACGGAAGCGCCGGACAAATTTGAGAGAGCTTGGCCTAGAGTGTGGAAAAATACCGTTGTCTGCACTCTTGAGGCTTCAGTCCAACCTGAAACCAGACATATTACAGAATAACTGTTTTACAATTTGTTTGTTAGTTTATGTCAATAGGCACCGTGGGGACAACAATTCTGACTAGTAAACAGCGATGAAACCTCCAGTCCAGAGGAGGGTCAGTTCCCTTCCATCAACTGCACGGCGGGCCGTCTGAACCAGGCAAGGGAAGAAAGCTTAGTTTTTGCGACAAGCGGCGCCAACACCAACAGTGGTCTTGAGGCACAACCCACTTCGGCCGAGGCGGAGACTTTGTTGAATAACAACAACATCCCTCAATTCAATGCTACTCAGACTACCAACTACGGGCTCACAAACCAAAGTGCAGACGAGGTTAGTCCTGCGAGAGACTCGGGCTCACCACACGATCAGATTAGCCCGCTATTTACTCCATCGAGTTTCGTTGGTACCAATGCCGATGCCGAAAGGGGCCCAGAGGCGTCTTCGAGACTTCCGTCCGACGAGATGAGCGTACAAAATGCAATCGAGCATTCCTTCCCCAGCCACGAGGACACGGCCACTCAGACTGGCAGCAGCGGGGAGACTGGCCGGGGAATGGATTATGTCCCCTTTCAAGGCATTACGACAAACTTCGATGACTCTACAACGGAAGTTGATAACTCAAGTAGACTTGTTACCTCGGATTGCCCTGACGCGGCGGACAGCCATAAGCAGCGAGGATTCTTGCCCCCCATTAAGCAGTTACTTCATATCGCGGACAACCAGGGTCAAGAACCACATAATCTGCTTTTCTCTGGGCTACGAGTCGAAAATGTATTTGAGAATGAAATGCTAGGTATCCCCACCGAGAATTCTAGAGCACCATGCCCGCCGAGAAGTGTTGCTGTGGTGCCTACAGCAGCGCCAGTGCTGAATTCTACTGAAAGCCTTGAAGCAGTTGGAGCGATCAGTCCTGGTGAAGTATCTCTCTTGTTGACTGATATGTGCACTGTCACTCAGGGGGGTGAATTTATTTGGGACATGTCGGACCCAAGACTATGCGATGGTGAACTTCCGATAGATTTTTTTTGACACAACTTAGGAAATGGATTCAACTGATATCATACTGAAGTAATACCGAAACCTGTTCTCACCTTCCTCCGTATTGCCTTCTTTCGCCTCCTCAAATACCACCGTTGTCCCTCCCATAACTAGTAAACCCGAGCCGGTGTGCCAGTCTGATGTCTGTATATTACCCTCGGATCTGATTGAAATGCGAGTTGTGTTCGAGAGAAGAAATGCTAGCCCAATAGAGCCCAATTTCGTAAAGAAGCCACCACGGTCTAATCCGTATACATACGGCCTATATGATTGGCCCTTACCAAGTTTCAGCTGTGCATCGGCTAAGATTTGTTTTATACAATCGGCCTTGATCTAATCAGCCCAGGAGAAATGGTATGCCTTCTGTAGTACTTACCCTTTTTTGGGCAAACACTGTTGAAAACTTTGCGCATGATTCTGGGCAGCCATATTTATATATAGCTGCCTCTTCGTTGGTTTCTTTCGTCGGTGAAATACGTTTGATATCTTTCTGAAGCTCGCCAAATGGTCCCGCGGCCTCAGCAGGCAGGTCCAGGAATACGTATGAGGCATTTAACATTGCGTAGTGGGTATGCAGGGAGAACAAACATGAGATATGTCCGGGTCAGAGCGAGGGGCATTCATGCGCATTTATAGTAAAACAAAACGATATTAGGGAAAGTAGCACCCAGTAAGCTGTGAAGCAGAGATGTGACGTGTTCTACCAGACGTGGTTCCGATAAACCGTGGTGCATCGACCCAGGTGGGGGGAGAAAATCCACGTGGGCCGATTATGTAATGCACCGCCACACACAAATCGAAGGCTCGACCCGTAACGTCACTCCTCTTACTTTATGCTAGTCGAAGGCTCTAGGCTATTCGCAAGCGGGACGCCGTAAATATGCTGACACACGTGCCCGCGATAGCTGTGCGTGAACGGCGCCGTCCTTGTTGATCCCTCTTCGGAGAGTACTTGGCCAATCCTAAGTTTCGTAAGAGGGGGGGCTCGAAGTAACACAGCCGAATTGAACAGCTGCAGCTGGGGGATCAAACACTAAGTGAGAAGGCGATATTGAGTTGAAAAGATCACGGAGGCTGAGACCAGTTCTATCTCTGCTTTAAAATTATTTACCACAACATGGACTAAACGGTTTTTGAGATGAATCATTCTTCAATTTTGATTCTATGTCGACTATTGGATACAGGGGTGGTGTATGCGGGGGGAATGGGAAGAAATATCTACTCAGTTCCTCTTGTAATAATCATGTCTGAATTTGGCTTCTTTGTTCTGTGGTAATGGCTCCTAAACAGAAAACATATCAACTTCTCTTGGCTGGGTGATATTGTCCTCTGCAGGTTGTGGCTGCTGTGAAGGCTGCTATGGAGGATATGAAGGCGGCTGGGAAGGAGCCTCTTCTACGTTGGGTTGATCAGGCATATTGAGTGAGGTGAGTCTAGATATTGTTCGAACAATCTTGCTCTCGCAAAGAGTGACTATAACTATTTCGAACCACTCCTGTCTAGTAATACAACTTGAATCCAGCAGAGGTGTTAGCAGAGGAAAAAACGACAAGGCATCCAGTTACGAACCTAAACTTAACAGCTCCGGCCTTATCACTATTGATCAAGCTGTTGAGCTCTTTTTAGGGTCACCGAAGTGTACCGTGATCGTTGTACAGAGGGTACCCGTGAGAGCCAAGCTGAAACGGCACAATGGGACTGGGATTTCTTAACGCAGAATGTAGATAATTTGCGAGCAGGATGGTCAGTTGCGGTCTATTTCCCTAACTTGGACACGTTCGGGCAGGCAAAAAGGGGACCATTGCTCTCTTTATATGTCAGGGGCGGGCTCATCTTCTATACTCCTATAAGCCACTTCTGCCCACGCATGGTGTGGTTGCAACCTCGTTTCTTCTAGCTCGGCCTGCATCTCGATATGGACTAAATAAAAATTGCCTCATCAGGGGTAGTGATTCCACGAGCTTCTGACGTGTGTAACGAGCCTATTCTTGCATACGGGAACTTCTTCCCGGTAAGTGGGCGTTTGGTGGTGGTAGAGGTCTGCTAAGAGGCCTGTTGGTAGGTCCGCGAGCAGATAGAGACTGGTAACTGTTGTGCCGTCGGCCTGTCAATCGCCGAAAATACTGGTGCCAAGTAGCCGGAATAGCTGGCCTCCCATGAGAATCAGCGGGCCGCAAGACGATCGTCAAGCTCAGTATAAAGAGTCCGCATTGCACGTATAGTAACCTATCTAACAATCGAGCAAGTGACAATCCAAGCACAAGCAAGGATATCACGCTGAAAACAATACCCGTTGTGAGTAAATAGTCAGCTAAGTGCTTGGTCGGACGCTCCGGGAGACCTTTAGATGCCTGCAGTATTGCGATGAAAGCCAGGGTCTGCGAGGTGAAGGGCACGATGTACGCGAGTTCAAGGGGAGCTCGGTTTTGTAGGCATAGAGCGCACACTGTAACGGCTAAAGCCTCGACGCATTCCAGAATCACAGCCCATTTCCACCATTCCCTTTTGACGTACGGAACTGCAAAGGGGTAGGTGATTGCGATGATCTGATCATGTTCTCAGAAGAATACTAGAGGAAGTACAAGACTGGGACTCACTTGAATGTTGGCAACTCCACACATAGATAGAGTTGCCAAAGTAAGGCGTATGGAGTTTCTCAATATTTGCGGAAGGTTCGTTCTGCCGCTGTCATGCATGATACAGAGGACGAGGGCGGTGATTTCCAGAAGTGTCCATCCTGCCACCAGGAATCGAAACCATCTTTGCTCTAGCCAACGATCGCAGGACTTCAAGTAGACGAAGGTAGCAACAAATGTAATAGAGAGGCCAGATGTCACATAGACATCGCCAAGTTGATATGTAGAAGTAATGTCCATAGTAGTCTCAAGAGAGAACGCGTAGACTGGTCACGACTTATGCAAGTGTGAGGGGATCAGCCCATACTTATGCTCTGGTCAGAGCTGGGTACGGAGAGAGGTTCGGCGACGAGCGTTCCGCAGGGCTCCGTTAAACAAAAGGACCAACACAGCTTTGTGTGGAACCGCGATGATGAGGCCACCGGTTCTATTTATGCTTTCAAATGGGCTCGCACCAAGAATGACTCCACAACATCAAACAGCGCGTGATTAATGAGACAAGAGGGCTAACACGAAGACGGTTGTGTGCCTCCACTCCCTCATGGGTTATCAATCTCAGGGGTTGGGAGGATCATGACCGACGGCGGACGAAAGCTGCGTTGTCCAGGGACGTTCTACGCCCATATGATCAAGTGGCTTAAATGGCACCTTGTATGCAGGAGCCTCGTGTGAAGATTTGCCAAATGATGCTATCGAGATGACCCGCAGGGGAATTGCAGAGTAATGAATGTAGTTTTGCTTAATCTTCATGATGGCAGACTAGATACGGTAAGGACTGACAGGCGCACTCTTGGCTATTTCTTAACCCTCTTATTCTAATTACGTTCACTCCCACAGCCGTCTTTCAACGCCTCTTTCCCGGCCTCCTTTTCTTGAGGAGATCGTCCGCCCATTGAACGCCAAAATTAGAATATAGGAAGGAAAAGAAAAGAATTGTGTTTAGTTCCCTCTGATCAAGTTTAGCCCGAACTCGGCTTCTTCGCTTGGTGACAATGGCTCAGAAACAGTGCTCATATCAATTACTCCTCGCTGCTCTGGGTTGTCTGCCTTAGTCGTCGTTAGGTTCGGAGTCAATAAATTTAGGATTGCCAGACTCGCCTTGGCCCAAATTAGTCCCAGTAGGGGTGCTTGTGTGAGTTTGAGGATGCCGTCGCTGGTCTGTCTCTTCTCCTCCTAGGAGGCTTGTGGCATTATTGTTCCTTTCAATTCCTCCTGGCTGCCCTGGGATGTCTTCCATAGATGTGGTATTCTCCATCCTAAATGGATAATCGGAGGGTGCCCATCTACTCACGTCTATATGGCCTGGGGAAGATTGAGGACGAGGAGAGGAGTTATTGGTGCCGTTGGTTTCCTTGCCATTGTTCTCCGTATCCTGAGATAGTTTTATGATTAGCTTGAGCCACCTAGGATGCATACAATCATACTTCGAACGAATGAATTGTTGTTGCGCCGCCTCTAGACTCTACATCAGTCAAGAGTTGACTTACAGGAATTCTGTTGTCATCATGAGCTGGAGAGGATCGTGAAATGGGCCATGGTACCATGTTGGGCTGCCCTGGGATATCTTCCGTAGACGTTGTTCTATCCATCTCAGCTTGTGGCGGCTGGGATGGCGGCTGGGAAGGAGGCTCTTCTCTATTAAGTCGCCCAGGCATATTGAGTAAGTCTAGTATCGACAAGTCGACAAGGTTTGAACAATGCTGAGCTCGCGTAGAATGGCCGTGACTACTTCTGACTACCGCTGTTTAGTAACCAGCAACTTGAACACGGAAAGGCATTCGTGGAGAGAACAAGGGTATACACTTACGAATTTAAACTCAACAGTCCATTCCTTGTCATTAATGTTCTTTGATCAGGTCTGCACGGCTCGTCGTAAGGTCACTTGGGTGTATTGAGATCGTTGTAGGACAGTCAGGATGGCTTGTAAGATCTGAGCTAAAGCAGCACAATGGGAGAGGAATATGTCAATTTTCAATGGTGCAGACAACTTGCAAGATGGCCAATTGTGGTCAATTTCCCTGACCTGGGGAGACAAAGGGGAATTGTTGCTCTTCTTATATGTCACGGCCCGCTCGTCTAGTACTCAATCGTTCGAGGCAAATCTGCCCATGCATAGGATGGCTGCAACCTCTTTTCTTCCAGTTTGAGCTGCATCTTGATATGGACAAGATCGAACGTGTCTCGTCAGGGGTAGTGGTTCCACGAACGAACTTCTGACGTGGTCAGCATTGAGCTAAGGCAACTCACGGCCGCGGCCACCCTACTGCATGCATGTTGGCTGTATCCTTGTCGAAGGGAAGGTACAAGTAAGCTTCCCAATATGTGTGTTACTACCAAAGGCATGGCCTTCCCACTCGGGGCAAACCATTGATTGAATATATTGGCCAATTCAGCGCCGGATATCCCACCCCAATTCCCGCCAAGCTGCCTATACGACCGTTCGGTAGATTCTCACGTTTTCTATCCGAGGTTTAAAATACAAGTGTCAAGCCAGATCTGAATAAGCCAGGTTTGACACTGGCGAAGTCTTATCCAAAGATTGTCCCTGTGCCGTTCCTTCCCTCGAATGCATACTAGTTGGCTGTATCCTTGTCTCCTTGGTGTTGACATGCAGCCACACGAGCCAGCTCGGACTCACCACTTGTTGATATATCTCCGAGAAGGGCAATTGTATCTAAACTACTGTTGGTTAACCCAATTGTTCTCTATTTGGAAAGAGTCAGACTTACCCCTTTCGAGGATAAGCTATCGATTGAGCAAACAGATCAACTCGGCTCAGAGAGACCCAGTTAACGACAGGAATCATCACACGGCTAAACGCATGTTCACGCTAGACAAGGCCGCGGCCCCAGTCTCGTAATTGAGGACTGCACACCCGTGCCAAATTCGTTCCTTCCAGCTTGGCTTGCATCTTGATATGGAATAGATCGAAATTGTCTTGTCAGGGCGGTGTTTCTACGAATGAACTTGACGTGGCCAGTGCGCTAGCGCAGAAAATGCATGGCCGCAGCCTCCTTCATTGATTGCATGCATATTGGTTGTATCCTTGTTTTCGAACTCGAAGCAGGAGTATACTTATCGAGATCTGATACTTGAGGAAGCATCCCAAGTCTGGCCAGACCGCATATATTGTGACCGTCCAGTAGTTTTTAACGTATACCGAGAGTCACACTTCGTCAGGGTGCTGGGCCCAGAAGAAAACTCGATGATCGCCATATTGGCACTGGGGCTTTCTGCTACTAAATCGCGGTTCATCGAAGTACGGCAACTCTGCAAGCCACTGGAGCTACAGCAACCAGAATGGGTGGGCTTGCCAGTTTCGAAGAAGACCAGTACGGATCCTGCAAGTCTGCATTTACCCGGCTAGCTGATAGCTGGATGTAGATACGTTTGACTGCATCGCATTGCACACACCAGACGAAATTCAAGCCCACTACTGCTAATGTGGTCCCCAGTGTGTGGGAAGGGTACATCTCATGCAACCCACGAGTGGACCACCAGGCCGAGTACCCTGCTACGAAGGCAGTCCTAGATATAGGACTGTGTCTTGCATATGTGCAGTCCCAGTTACTGACTCAATTTATCCACTCAACTTGCCAAGTCTGACTTACTTAGTCCCAGATTGAGGACTAAGATATGCCCAGTCCGTCCGTAAGCAGTCTCGTTGTAGTCAAAGATGAGATTGACTGATGACCGGTCCCAGTTGTGAGACTGGCTGTGCACATGGCCGAGCTGCATTAGCGTTCTGCGCTACGTAAGGTGCATTGCTAGTGATTTGCACATGAAGGCTACCAAACATCCTATCTCGAGAATTGTGCGGGGTTCCTCACACACAAACTCACGCCACTCGGTCAGAAAAGATGGCATCGGATATTCTGCCTGATGAAGCAAAGAAGCAAATTTACCAAGATGGATTCTTCATGTTGGGGGATCCGAAAGTAGGGTCAAGTATCGAAGAAATGAAGGCGAAGCAAAAGTCTTTCGATTTCTCTGGGGAAGCAGGCTTCGAATTTTGTCGTGACCGTGTTTTGTTGAATTCTGTCAGTTTCCCGTTCCCAGAGTGCGAGTCAATCTGACCGAGACAGTCTGTTCAAAGCATCATCAGTGCACTAGAATCCGACACAAATCTGCGCTACGTACTCGCTTATCGTGGGTCGTTACCCCCCGACGCCGGACACATCTGCACACTCAGGAACGGCGGAGAGGATCTCGGTATCTTGATCGTCCAAGTTTGGCCAAAAGGTTCATCTGCTATATTCTATTCTGGATCACATATGGTCCCTCTACAAAGAGCTCGGGCAGCGAATAGGATATGGGAGGTAGCGCCAAAGCAATTGAAAGACAGTGGTTGCAAAGCGGAAAATTTCCAGGATTCATTCCGGGACACGGGAGGAATGTAGGTATCACCTGCACTTGCCAGCGAGCTATTTCTCATGGTTTCCAGAGTTGTATTCGATGCCAGAATCTCCTTTGAGCGGCAGAAGGAACGAAGCTATTTCTACACTTATGTCGCTACACCTCTCCTGGAGCGCTGGCGGAAAGCGGGCCAAACAAACACATGGGGATTACGACCACCCCCGTCCCAGGATCCTCAATACGTGGAGACATTAGGTGTCTACATGCGGCAGGAGGACCTGCAGCAGGAATAAAGGAAAGGTGCTCTGGCAAGCGAATTTGAATATTATTGCCTCGTCCCACACGAATGCCTTAGAATGAATGGATAAATTTCTCGGTAGCATACCACCCGCTATTGCTCAAGAGGTTTATGTGGCGTTTGGGGTGCGGAAAAGTCGCCAGTGGGAATGGATGCGAAGAACATGCCGCTGTCGTCGTCATCAGTAGCCGCGATAAGTCGTGCGACATTATTGCTCTCTGTAATATAAAACTGCCCAATGGTGTCATCGAAAAATTCTGCAGTATTGCTACTGTTGACTGCTGCGAAGAAGCCCCCAATGTCGGTACTGTCGTGATATTGATGTGCAGGAGTAGTCTCGTCTGCTAAGATAATTGATCTCGTATCGTCGTGCATAGTCATAGGCGGCATGTCTTCAGTCGCGGCGGGGCCACTGTGATCGTACGAATTGGTAGATATTCGAGAGGCATTTAGACGAGGCCGAGCTCTCTTGGCGTGGGAATCGAGGTCATTGATGCGCAATCTTTTCGTCGACATCGCCGGCACCGTACTACATAAATTGATAGCGCGCTTGTATTCATCGCTGGCCTTTTGTCGGATAATTTTCTTCCGGTGCTGAAGCCTGGTACTTGTTTCAACGCAATGATGACGTAACAGCGTATCGCAGAATCGGAAACTCTCTAAGCATTCTGGACAGATCTCGAAGCATTCCACGTCTGCTATGATTAGTTGCTGCCGTCATCGGTGAGGAATGGATTGACTAACGTGCTTGGAAGTGCCTTTTTAGATTAGAAGCGTCATTGCAGGTCTGGTTGCAGTTCTCCCATGGGCATTCTTTAGAACTCGTGCGACCATAGGCAATTTTGAGAGCAGGAATATGTAATCGCGTTCGCGTAAGTCTCGACAGGAGCAATAAGTCAAGCGACTGCGACGTTAGCGAAGCAGATACTCAGAAAGGCGTACTAACCCTAAATTTCTCAATATGCCGCTCTAGATCACAATTTGTCTCGAAGGGCTGGTCACATCTTTCACACACATGCAACGCGCCATGCACGTAAGTCTTCTCACAGTTGTCCAGAGCATGTCTTCGGGATCGAGCATACTCCTCATCAAGGGACCGTTCTTGAGACTATCTCGTAAGCCATTAGTTGAGAGGAAAGACATTTATCGTTGAGCCAACTGACTTCGAAAAAATTTATATGCTCTCGCAAAGCTTCGCGAGACTCGAATTGTTCATGGCAAACTTGGCAAGACAAGGACATGATGATGTTAGGAGAAAACGCGCTGTGACGCTAGGTCGGTAGAGGGCGGGGCATTACGGATTGAGCGACTAAGTGGCAGGTGGTCAGCCGATTTGTACTAAACGGGCTAGCGCCTCTGTACAATTTAGCTTGTGACATGATGCTCAGAAAATATAAAGCCAAGTGCGCAGCCACTCTCGAGAAAAGACGGATTTCGATCAGCAATTTTTTTGGTTGCATGTTTGCGATGCCCATGCAATGCCCACCTGTGACGAATGCAATGGCTCCGGCTTGAAGGGCAACGGAATCTGCTCAGGATGTAGCGGACATGGAACCGTCGATGCTGTTCCAGCCTTGTATACGGTGAGTCACCTTGCATCCCACTATCAATCCCTTCAGTCGCAGTTGGATTTTACTTACGACCAACAGCAAGCGCTGTGCTCTTTCTGGCTCCAATATGGACTTGACAGAAGGCAAATCAATCGCAGGTTCAGGTGCTGTGGTACCCACAATAATAGATGGGGCTCTACAGTGCCTGCTCTGGTGCATACGCAGACTGGCTTAAGAGAGGAAACATCCATTGCTATACCTCTTCCCATTATGACAGAGGCTGCAGGAAAATGGCAGCAATGGCTTGGCCTAGAGGAAATTAGATGCGATTGCTTGTTGGAGGACAAGGACTGATGCAATAAGGCGGTTCAATGCGATGAACTCAAAAAGCACATCATTCCTGGTGTAGTTGACCTAGATTAGCGTCCACGAACACCCATCAATGCTAGGAGGTATGCCCCTATTGCGAACATTTAACAGTCATAATTGAATGCTCTTCGGATTCATCACTGTTGTTCCTTCCTCCCAGCCATCGGCCTTGGCTGCCTGCTTCTCCTTCCTCCACGGCCTGGATTGGAAGGGTTAACGCTCTGAAAGGTGACAGACTATTCGTAGCGTGTCGATCGTCCGGAGCAACAAGGAACACTTGAGGCTGTCATTTTCGTCGGTGTAGAACATCGCAAAAAGTGTCTCTGGGAAAGACTATCGAGCATATGCTAAAGCCGATAGGCCGCGGCAAGTGTCGTTGTATTGAGAAAAGTACTTGGCCGTTGGCGACCTGTACCTGGGATCGCGTTAACGCGAGTACGTCTGTTTATTTGTTGTTGCTCTATTAAGCGTTGCTTTTTGGTCACGGGAACTGTTGCATGTTGTTTAGACAGTGCTACGCTGATTGGCTGGCGTGCGTGATTTGCTACGTATTTCGTCGCGGAGTCTTCCCTGCTGTTCTCTAGAAACAAGCCCGACAATCTCTTTACGCCGTGTCCTTCAAATCGTACATACCTTCGCTTGTTTGGCTGTCCGTCTGCGTTTATTAATCCCCACCTCCTTCCCCGCTCGATGACGACAGCCGAACATGTCAGACCCCCTAGTCTACACCGTGGGCTGGATCTGCGCTATCGCCACCGAGTCTGTCGCAGCTCGAGCCTTCCTCGACGAAGAGCACGACGGACCTAGCCACATCGCTCATAACGCTCTCCAAGCTGCCTCATTGGTAGGTCATCAAGAGATTGTGGTACTGCTGTTGAACAGACGGGTGGGGGGATCGCTTCTATTTGTTCCACATTGAATCCTTGCTCCCAATAGGCGTGACCTTTTCTTAGAACTTGTGGTCGATGTGTTGGCAATTTTGTGGAGAGTCTAGAGACGGATCGGATATTTTTATGGACTCCTGCACAATAGGTCTTAGTAATTAGGACTGCGCCATACAAATGTGCAACACGGGATCACATCTCATAACCAGCCAGCCAGCCACATTTCCGGAAACCAGCCACACGTCTTAGGACCAGCGGACCAGCCACATGTCTTTCTTAAGATGAGCCATATATGAGACATATATCCCTGTTACGCACAGCCACGTAATTACCTGGTTCTCGAAGTCAACGCCTCTTGGTCCAATCTCCGGTGTTTATCCGAGATATGGAGATACCCGTTTCTGATCAATTTAATGGACAGTCTGCCAACTTGATCATACTCACCACAAAATTCCAATGTCTGACCCAGAGATTGTACGGCTTCAACGCGAGAACGAAAAACTCAGACGCGAGAAGGAGGCAGCGGAGGCGAGAGAGGAAAAGGAGCGGCGCGAGAAAGAAAAGGAGCGGCGCGAGAAAGAAAAGGAGCGGCGCGAGAAAGAAAAGGAGCGGCGCGAGAAGGAGGAGCTCGCACGCGAAAATCAGCCGACTACATTAGATGAATATCTATGGAACTGCCATACCTATCTCTACCAGAACTTCAAGCTTGCCGACAAGTCCATATCCTCAACGGGGTCTACAAGGGTTGATGGCAAGTTCTACCCTATGTGGCTACGTCCTTGGAGCAAGTTTGCGGACTCATTACGCCAACAACAGTTTGAGGTGATCAAGGGGGCCTGCGGAAACGAGCGACTCTTCAATCAACAGAGTACCACCCGAGACATAGGAAGGAGCATTTCCGCTAAGGTGGCGGCCAATGAGAGCGCGGTCACTTATTTTGAAAAAGTTGCGACCGAGGACCCTATCATTGCCATTTTTAAGCATCTAGAAGGCCAGGAAGCAATACGTACAAAATACAGATTCAACGACCTACGATTCAGCGATAATGGCCGCGAAATCACGCAATCAACCGGTGGAAGTCAACCAGCGAACGAGGAAGATCTGGGTGACGATAGGCCGGAGCGGCGGCTGCGGACCGGGCCGAACAAACGAGTGGCATCTGAGCAGAGAGTGAAGCCTCGGCCAACAATTCCTGATGGGTTCGGGCTCCGAACGCGACCTGGCGGAGATAAAAGCATGGCGTTCGTTTACGACTACAAGGCAGCCCACAAGGTTGCAGCCGAGCATGTTAAACTAGCTGTTGCAAAGGAAACATTGTTCATGGAAGTCATTGAGCAACTCAACAGCAACAAGTCAACGATAGGTGCCGAGCTAGAACAATTCAGGGCGGAAGCACAGATCGCTATGGCACTCACGCAAGTCTTTGACTATATGGTCAACTACGGGGTCGCATATGGCTATATTGCAGCAGGCCAGTCCCTGTTGCTAGTTCATTTTGACCGAGCCGATCCACAGACGCTATATTGTCATCCGTGTGTGCCGGATGAAGATGTGGGCGAGACGTCGTTCGCGAACTGGGCCGACAAAATGATATATACAGCAGTGGCTCAACTATCAAGCTTACTCTTATTAAGTCTTGAATCCAATGCGCTTCAAGGGGCTATTCTTGACGCAGCCCTAGAGAGCGCGAACGCGGCACTAGCAAGGTGGCCAGAACCGTATGAGGATGCTGCGCATTTCCTCTCGGGAGAGGACACGGAGTCGTCACTGGCGCCGTCATCCTCGCCGCTGCGAGGGGATGAATTCACATCCACGGCAGCCCCGACTGGCCGGGTAGTCCCCTTGCGGTCGAGGTCATCATGTGGGAACCCGGCGTTGCCTCGCCGGGATAACGAGAGTGATGAAGAGGAGGAGCCAGAGGGCCGTTTACCCTCGTCGCGGACAAGACTGGATCTGGCCAAACGGAAGGTCGGTCCGTCGGATAGCAGCTCCGAAGAAGACGCCGAAATAGCTGATTCAGCACCCACCAGGCAATACTGCTCGCAGGCTTGTCTATTAGGCCTCAAGAAGGGCTGGGATATGGATAACGGCTGTCCTAATGTGCTCTCTCATTGTGTGGCGGGTAGAGTTAGCACGCGGCATCCTATCAACGCCGACGAGTTCACCCGCTTGGTCGGCAAGCGGTTGTGCAAAGACCCATACCGAGATTGCTATGCCTTAGATGGGTGGGGTAAGAAGGGAGCGATAGGCGTACTGTTCAGAGTGGAACTTGCGCCATATGGCTACACGTTCGTCGGCAAGGGGACATGTTCAAATCATCTCGAGCACCTGCGGCACGAATGTCGCGTCTACGCGCGGTTGGAGAGCCTCCAGGGCTGGGTGGTGCCTGTGCAACTAGGTCTGGTGCACCTAGATCGGGGCTATGTTCTGCCGGGCGGGACGAGGGCGGTTCATATGATGCTGATGTCGTGGGGCGGCGAGGAAGCGGCAAAGGCAAACATGGACGCGGCGGATCTGCGGGCACAGTGGCACCGTTCGTCGCAGGCCGTCTGGGCCGAGGGCGTTGACCACGGCGACGAGCGTGATGCCAACCTGCTCTGGAATGCCGAGCGCCGCCGTGTCATGATCGTTGATTTCGACCGCGCCGTCCTTCGACCAGCCCTTAAACACCGCCAGCTCTCTGCGGTATCCGGGAGTAAGAGAAAACATGGAGTGGATAACCTCAAAATTCCTTCCCGGAAGCGTAGTTTGCTGCACAATCGCCCGCAGTTAAACTATCTGATGTCAAGGTAGAAAGGACATCAAGAATCCAGCGACTCAGGCATATGGCCAATGTGAGCCACTTGATATTGCTCGTTTCGCCATTTTAGCTAATTAACACAAGGTACAGCTACGTCATATACGGCCAAAGACCCCAATAATCACATCTTTATTTTGGTATTGATTAACCCGGGTGTCTTACCCCACGCGTCAGTCTTGCTGGAAACAATGATGTGTCGCTCGCTGAATGTTCCAATGTGAGATGAGAAGTACATGTAGTACGTGCCCATGAAGAAGGATCGGTCACCAGCGATAAAGACGCCAAGGAATGGTGATAACTTGGCGAGCTGGTCGTCAGTGAATGCCTCGCGTCCGAAGCCCACAGAGTAGTCAGGTTGGGGACGAGTGCCGGTCAAGGGGATTGAGTTGTTCCAGCCCTCGTTGACACTCTCGATCAAACATTTGAGACCGGTGGAATCATATATAGAATTTCTGCTGAAGGAACAATCAATGGTGTGATATCCCGCAAGACCCTTGCTTCTTTCCTGTCCTCCACACTTCGGCATGTCTGTTCAAAGAGGTCGTCTCGAAATACAGATCCATTTGGAGTTGCCTGCTCCGCACTGAGCAAGGTAAAATATGTTTTCTTGCTTATTTCTGTGATACCGAGATCCGATTTATCCATGAAACTACCCTTAGTTGCAAGCAGGGTCTTATAGCGCGGACCCTTGTAGGGCGCACTTTTCTCTTCCCTCGGCTTCTGATCGTTAGGTGTCGTGGACGTGGTAGAGTTCGACCGCTTGCGACCAAGAGACGACAAAGACTTTTTCCGGGCAAGTAAGTGCTCCATATCAAGTTTAAAGTATTCTTGCGGCCACTACCCTTGTCTTGCCCAAAATTCGATCGGCGTAATCGGCTCGTAGGTGACACAAGTGTTTGTGTTGGGTCTATCTGAAGGGTTCTCTACACGATATAACCTAGGAGATCGTCGAGGCCGCTTCGGAGTGGAGTCAAAGTCGTGATCGAGTGCGTCAACACGTCGTTTCGTACCACGCTTTGCCAGGTGTCGGGGAATCCTTCGATGAATTAGTTTTGGTGCCTATATAGTGGTCTACAAATGGCGTACCTGTTGAGATAGAATCTTCTTGGCCGGATATGGATGCGGTTGATCGTAGTTCGAGCGCTCGCGAGTTGGCTTCTGCTGGAGACGTGTCGTGTGATGGGTGCTTCTGTGCTTCTGGATGCCCTGGGATCGCTTTCCTGTTTGTTGTCAGTGAGGATATCGCTCAGCGCTTCACGAAACATGTACCCTGATCTTTGGGCGCAGACGATGCGCGCCTTTCTGGGTAACCAACTGTGCTCGAGTGTGAGCCATAGCGAGAGTGAATGCTGAGAGGCGACGACGTGATTAATTTTTGCGGGTGTCTCCTTAAGATATTTCCGGGGGGACTCTGCTAGCCAACGGTTAAGCGCCCCCGGTTGCATCAGGTGGGGAGGAACTGCCTCACTCTCCCGCAACCCGCTCACAATCGATAACGCAAAAGCTACTTATGGAGTGCTGGATCACAAGAGAAATAGAGTTTGCCGCGTTTCGTTGCGTGACAGCCACCCTGTTAATCTCTGGGGAGCTTAGTTCCTTGGTGCTGAGTCAGCTTCAGATTTGTAGACTAACCCAGCATTCACAATTTGCTCAATGGCGATATGACGCAGCGAAGCTTAGGGGTCGCCAGAGTAACTGAAGCCTACCCTTGCTAGTAGAAAGATCAAGACGGGGGGCCAATTCACTACGACAATACCACATGATGTTGCGATTTTGGTGGACGCCAGCGTAACCACATCACCAAGCCACAATTCAGGATTACGTCAGTATTGAACGAGCCACCTCTGGGAATTACCGTGACCCAAGAGTGGTGCTGTTCTTGCCTACCCTATACTTTGGATCATATCAGTATCTATTTTTCTTTTCGTTTCTTTCGACTGAGGTATAGATATTGAAACAAGTAGCTCAACAAAACTCGGTAGTTAGTAATCAAAAATTATCTCACAGGTCGTTCTCAACTCAAACGTCCTTGGATACCGATATCATACAACGTTCGTCGAAGAGGCGACGCTCGACCATCCGGCTCTCACAGCAGCCAGATTCTGGGATAGTCTTAACGAGGAATGGAGACGATCACCCAAGGTAACCATTATGGTCTGTAATCTGGTTACAGCCAATTATAAATGTCAGTGGCGATATACATAGTGAGCTGAGGAGTTCTACAAGAGAGGCAAACCGGTCGCGGTTTGCGCAATGGAGCCTTGAGGAACGAAGCTGGCTATGGCCATTTTCCCTTTCTTTTATAGTCTCTGATCACAGTCGCCAACTTCGAATCGTACGTGTGATTTAAAAAAAAAAACTTTCATTGCAGTAGCGCCATTCTGAGACATTCGTGGTACCAATCGGCCATATCCTATAACCCCTTGTTTCACATTAGGAACGTTCAATATATGAGAGAGAGGTGAATCAGCAGGGTAGGAACTATCAGTGCGCCCGCCGCTTCTGCCTCTGTTAGGAACAAGCCCTTATGGCAAAGCCACAGAAGCCACGGGCTAATCCTACAATATTAAAAAAGGTACTCTCAAATCCGGCGACACGCTTTGCTCCTTCTACTGTATTATTAGAGGTCTCAGGATTTAGTCGACACGGCGGTTTATGTGTGATCGTGAGGCCCCAGTTACCATGCATCGTAACCAATGAGATCGCAAGGAAGAATAGACTTGATTTTCTGTCTAGTTAACGCTGTAAAGTTGAGCTTTGTATCATACAAATGAGAAGTTGACCGAGGGTGGTCATGTGACTATATTTTATCTTATCATATCTTATCAAGCCACATTACTATGCTCATCATACGTAATTTTTGGAAGAAAGGAAATGCTGTCGTATATATTCAAGAACTCCCCTATTACCCTCCATTTACAAAGTTATTCGATTAATTTATATAGTAGGCCTAAATAGTGAATGTCATATAACTGATATTCGCTGCTGACAGCGCCGGTTTTAGAGAATAAGGGACTCGAATCGTGGACCCAAGATTATCTTACACATCGAGGATGGTGTGCCATTAATCAGGTCAGCTTCCGTATTGCCATAGCGGGGGAAGCCGCTAGGCAAGAAAGATCCTAAGATCAGGCTACAAGCCTATGTGGACGATCAAGGGATTCCCTCGGTATAAAAGAATCTCAGAGACCTTTGTACTTCTAGATTTGATGGACAATAACAACACCCTTTTATCTGTGATACCGGACTGCTGGAATACTAACATGCAAATTCATGGAGACAATATCTAATTATTGACCTGATAGCCTGTTCGTTCGCTCGGCGCCATTCTGAATAAGCATCTGAGCGATATCTGGGTGCACTCCCGCTAAAGCAGTCTGAAAACCATTGCAATAATGCCCACCCTGAGCATTAACATGAGCGAACTTCTGAATAAGCATCTCAGCGATCTTTAGATGCCCTCTTTGTAAAGTAGCCTGAAGAGCATTGCCATACTCTCCACCTCGGGTATTGATATCAGCTCCCTTCTTAATAAGCAACTCAGCGATCTTTAGATGCCCTCTTTGTGAAGCAGCCTGAAGAGCATTGCCAAAAAATCCACCTTGGGCATTAACATCAGCACCCTTCTGAATAAGCATCTCAGCAATCTCTAGATGACCTCGTTCTGAAGCAGCCTGAAGAGCATTGCCATACTTTCGATCTTGGGCATTGATATCAGCGCCGTTCTGAATAAGCAACTCAGCGATCTTTAAATGCCCTCTTGCTAAAGCAGCCTGAAGAGCATTGCAATAAAGTCTGCCACCTCGGGCATTGATATCAGCGCCGTTCTGAATGAGCATCTCAGCGATCTCTAGATACCCTCTTTCTGAAGTAGCCTGAAGGGCATTGCTATAAAATACGCCACCTTGGGCATTGATATCAGCGCCCTTTTGAATAAGCATCTCAGCCATCTCTAGATGCTTATATACTGAAGCAGCCTGAAGAGCAGTGCCAAACTCTCCACCTTGGGCATTGATATCAGCTCCCTTCTGAATAAGCAACTCAGCAATCTCTAGATACCCATATGCTGAAGCAGCGTGAAGAGCATTTCCATACTTTCCACCCTGGGCATTGATATCAGCTCCCTTCTGAATAAGCAACTCAGCGTTCTTTAGATGCCCTCTTGCCAAAGCAGCCTGAAGAGCATTGCCATACTTTCCACCTTGGGCGTTGATATCAGCGCCATTCTCAATAAGCAACTCAGAGATCTTTAGATGCCCATATGCTAAAGCAGTCTGAAGAGCATTGCCAAACTCTCCACCTTGGGCATTGATATCAGCTCCCTTCTGAATAAGCAACTCAGCAATCTCTAGATACCCATATGCTGAAGCAGCCTGAAGAGCATTTCCATACTTTCCACTTTGGGTATTGACATCAGCTCCCCTCTGAATAAGCAACTTAGCGCAACAGATCTCTATATTCCCTGCCGCTGAAGCAGCCTGAAGAGTATTGTCATGCTCTCCACCTCGGGCATTGATATCGGCGCCCTTTTGAATAAGCAACTCAGTGATCTTTAGATGCCCTCTTGCCAAAGCAGCCTGAAGAGCATTGCCATACTTTCCACCTTGGGCATTAATATCAGCGCCGTTCTGAATAAGCAACTCAGCGATCCCTAGATACCCTCTTTCCAAGGCAGCCTGAAGAGCATTGCCATACTCTCCACATTGGGCATTGATATCAGCGCCCTCCCCTCCCGCTGAAGCAGTTTGAAGAGCATTGCCATACTCTCCACCTTGGGTATTGACATCAGCACCCTTCCGAATCAGTAACTGAGCGATGTTTAAATGCCCTCTTGCTAAAGCAGCCAGAAGAGCATTGCCATAATATCCACCTTGGGCATTGACATCAGCGCCGTTCTGAATAAGCAACTCAGCGATCTTTAGATTCCCTCTTTGTGAAGCAGCCAGAAGGGCATTGCCATAAAGTCCACCCTGGGCATTGATATCAGCTCCCTTCTGAAGAAGCAACTTGGCGATCCTTAGATGCCCACTTTCTGAGGCAGCCTGAAGAGCATTGCCATGCTCTCCACCTTGAGCATTGATATCAGCGCCCTTCTGAATAAGCAACTCAGCAATCTCTAGATGCCCATATGCTGAAGAAGCCTGAAGAGCATTGCAATAAAGTCTGCTACCTCGGGCATTGATATCAGCGCCGTTCTGAATAAGTAACTCAGCGATCTCTAGATGACCTCTTTTTGAAGCAGCCTGAAGAGCATTGCCATAATGTCCACCCCGGGCATTGATATCAGCGCCGTTCTGAATAAGCAACTCAGCGATCTTTAGATTCCCTCTTTCTGAAGCAGCCTGAAGAGCATCGCTATAAAATGTGCCACCTTGGGCATTAATATCAGCGCCGTTCAGAATCAGTAACTGAGCGATCTCTAGATGCCCTCTTTCTGAAGCAGCGTGAAGAGCATTGCCATAATATCCACCTTGGGCATTGACATCAGCGCCGTTCTGAATAAGCAACTCAGCGATCTTTAGATTCCCTCTTTCTGAAGCAGCCTGAAGAGCATTGCCATACCATCCACCTTGGGCGTTGATATCAGCGCCATTCTCAATAAGCAACTCAGAGATCTTTAGATGCCCATATGCTAAAGCAGTCTGAAGAGCATTGCCATACTCTCCACCTCGGGCATTGATATCAGCGCCCTTCTGAATAAGCAACTCAGCGATCTCTAGATACCCATATACTAAAGCAGCGTGAAGAGCATTTCCATACTCTCCACCTTGGGCATTGATATCAGCACCCTTCTGAATAAGCAACTCAGCGTTCTTTAGATGCCCTCTTGCTAAAGCAGCGTGAAGAGCATTGCAATACTCTCCACTTTGGGCGCTAATATCAGAGCCGTTCTGAAGAAGAAAAATAGAAGAATAAAGTAAACCCCAAAGGGATGCATGGTAAAGCGCTTGAAATCCGTCCCCTTTGGGCCCATACGGATCGCCGAGCTGACACCCAAATCGGAAGGCATTTTGGCATAAAAAATACTCCTTAACCGACGGTATAATTGCTTTATAAGATGACTCGACGTCTTTCGCATGCTTCATCCAAAATCCCGCAGAGAACTCTGCCAAATAATATTGTTGTCTTGCTTCTTCTGGCGAGCATAACTGATATATAGTAAGCAGATATGACAGACAAATGTCCACAATATTAGCCTTTGCAGATATTTCGTTGAGTCCTTCAGCCAAATCTGGCTCCAGTCTATCTGATAAGAGATATTCCTTCACTGAAAAGTGAGCAAGTTGTATTTCGGTTACTTGTTCCACTGTAGGTTGGTAAGATTGCACACTTCCCATTGCGTCAGTATCAAGTTCGTAAGATTCCACACTTTTATGTGCAAGAACCACTAAACTGGAGCAGTATTGGATAATTTCCTCGTGAATTGGCATTCGATTTTCTGGACTAAATGCGGGCTGACTTGATGGATTAACAGCGATAAGATCAACAGCTTCCTCAAGCTTCAGAGGCCGTTCGCTGTACGTCAGAAATTGCAGAAGGCGCTTCGCCGTGCTTAGTCGATGCGGATGTATCCGTCGCAAAATTTGTGCATATGTCGCATCCAGCGTCTCAGGCAGGTTTTGTAGTTCTCTTCGCACGGAAGGCGGGTCTAGACATTGCTCCAATGTGTCAAATTGGCATGAAACCCAACGGAACCTATGACAAATTTAGCTGCTGAATCAGAGACGGAAGAATTGCAGCCAGAGAGAACCACATACATTCCATCTGCCTTTTGTAGGAGGGTAGTTTCAATCTCTGCTTGGATCTCCGGCCGTTTCTTCCACCTCGCCATTTCGCTAACCCTGGCCTTCGTATACGCAGTAATATCGTCACTCACTAACCCACTTTGGAGTTGGATAATTTTATTAGTATGGGCCCAGCCGTTGAAAGAAGCCATGATATCCTGCTCGGGCCGACTGGTGACAAGGATGTGTATGTTGGTTGATTCATCTTGAACACCCTTAATCCAATCCAGCAATGATTTTGATGAGTATGAGGCGCTGTGTCTCTCGGATTCATCCAGTGCATCAAGGACAATATAAATCTCCCCAGCTTTAGTCAGCATGCGTCGCAAGAGCTTATCTAGCGATGCGGCATCTGGCTGTCTCGTTCCATCTCCAAAGCTACAATAGACTGCATCGACTTCGCTGCGAAGAATGATATGCTTAGAGAATAGCTGAAAAATAAGCGAACGGATGGCTTTCTCCAGCGATCTTTTCTCAACATCATTGAAATTGAAGAAGAAGTATAGAACTCTGGGATCAGAGTTGGTAGAGTCAAGATCCACAATGATGGTAGAACTGAGGACGGTCTTGCCGCACCCGGGAATACCATTGAGCCATAGAAAAGAGTTTTTCTCTTTTTTCCATCCTGAATATGCATTACTATTCAGGAACCACTGGCCAGTGCCTTGATAGTGCAGGCTCCGGGCTTGATTTAGATTCGTGGATGGGTCAGGCGGTGCTAGCCAGTTTCTAATCTTGTTGAGATGACGATCGTCTTGCATAAGCTTAGTTGTATCCCTGGTCTCGGATGCTAATTGATGGACATCTTCCATCTTTTGATTGACTTTTAGGTATTAATACTTTTACTGGAATATAAAAAAGATGGCAATAGATAAACAGAAAGGCACTAACCAATCTGAACAAGCTCACTGAGCCTCTTCTCATTCCCTACTCTGCTTGGTGCGATCTTGTATAGCAAGTCTTTTGCATAAGCCGCAGCTGTCATCGCTGCATAGCCTTGCCACTCTTTGTTCTTGTGCGTATCGGAATAGTCGCAGATGCCACGAATAACCAGACAGGGAAAGTGGTTCATCAAACCGGCGGCTTCCATTTCGAAGCAGAGAACGTCATGCTTCTTCGCAAACGCATCTCGAATCAAAGCGTCCTTCATTAGCGTATTCGCTGAAGCGATGAGGCCATAGTGGATCGATGGATTGTCTTCGTCCTCCGCCCGCTCGGGCCGCACTACTAGAGTGGATGGATCATTGCCACAAGCTGTCGCACAGCTAGATTCGTCATTTGGCGAGTGAAGCACACCAGACTGATACAGTCGATCAGCGCTTAGTTCAGGCCGTCTGTATTTCTTCCGTAGTCTCGGTTTCTTTTCAAAAATACCGTTAATAGATTCTTCAAACTGATGTCCTTCACCCTCGTATTGCGCCATGAGTCCGCTCACAGCGGCTCGCAGAATCGGCGGCGGCTGATTCAAGAACCCTGTCTCTTGGAAATCCTGGTCTTGTAGGGCCTTTCCGAAGTCATACTGGAACACGCCGCCCTTCCCATTGCCCGAAGCGCTCACCACGACATCCCCAAGACGAATATCATGCTTGCGACTCGGCGCACCGCCGCCAATGCCGACCATCAAGCCAATTCTGACGTTGGGGAAACTGTGGAGCATGTCTCTTGCGACACTAGCGGCGGACGATATGCCGTACTCGCCGTGGGGAAGGACGGCAATGACGACATTGTGCCTCCCGATCTTGCCCAGAGTATAGTTGTTGTTATCGTTTGTAGACACGGATACAGGCCCTTCATGCTTTTCATCGAGAAAGGCTTGGGCAGCAACATACTCAGTTGCAATAGCGCAGATCCAGCCGACGGTGTAGTCATGGGGGTTGGACATGGTCGATAGTAGTCTTTGGTAAGGATCTTTTTTGAGGGGAAGGTGAAGGACCCGAGTGATCCGATCCTCGCACAGATCTACGAGATCTACGAAATCCCTGAGGGGTTGGTTGCTGCCCAACCAGCCATGTGCGGCTGAGTGCTGACGTTTGCCAACTAATCATGCAGAGTGGCTGGAACAGGATCTCCTTCAACATGCATCTGAGCGCGAGGCGGTTGCAGGGGTATTGCAGGGTAATAGAAGATCAACCAAAAGCTGATTGTAATTCTTATGGCGGAAGACCAGGAACTAACGTTGTTGTTGGGCAACCTGGGGGTAATTATTAAAGTATGTTCCATTTCCGAAGCATGCATGCGGCCATTAAAGCCCTTGCTTCGAGGGGAATATCCATAGGCAAGTCCTTAGTGAACATACACCTAGCGCGCTTGGTCCATTTTTGGCTATTCTTAGCAAAATTCCAATGATAAATTCCCGGCGCTGGATCCGCGCCTGTAGGGGCGGATGCTACAGGGGAGGTTCACTGTGGATCGGCGAAGAAAGAATATTAATTACAGCGGATAGTGGATGGAACGTGTGCAAAATCCCATCAGCGGTTATTGCGGAATGAAAAAGAAGAGTGAAAGATGGAAAAAAAAAAAGAAAAAAAGCAAGGAAAAAGGGACCAATAGAACAAGAGCCGTATATCGTCGATTAAAGACCAATCAAAGGGCAGATTGTTAAGCGGGCAAGGTCAGGGTGAAGTTTCAGCGGCGCAGAAGGCCTCTCGTCTCTTCGTTCCTCAAGGCAAAGGCACATGAGAGTCTTGGTGCTGCTCCCTTTGAATCATTGACCATGGGAGCCTGGCATAGTGGGTTCGCATTTCCTGCGAAATGACTAAGCGCAGTGACCTTGCTGATCTCTTGACCTAACCCTGGCATGGCCGGAATAACGATAGTGCGTTCGATTATTGCAGCGGCATGACGACTTCTAATCGGGTGTGCTGTGAGCCTGATTCAACCCAGAATTGTTTAAGCAGGGCGCCGAGGTCCGACCCTTAGAGGAGAGAGTTATGCGCCTCGCGAAAGAGCATGGCAGGACTGTGCCAGTTCCCGATATCCGCGTATCAACTTATAAAAATGCAAACGCCGTCCCCGCCTAGGGCGAGCTATCTATGGATTTAATGCCCGATAAGACGCTTCAATCGTCATGGCTACACGTAATGGTGCCGCCGTGTCTAAAAAGCGCGTAACGAGCGAAGTGGATTTGCCTGTGGCAGTGCAAGCTGCCACGAATACAGAGTGGGATACTCGTAGTCCTGTTAATGCGCTTCAACCGTGGAGAGTAACACAAATGCTAGCAGGCAGGCCCATGGAAGAGGTATCAGTGGAGTCGCCTGCGTTCACTGAAGCGTACACAGGATGCAGGCTGTACGGTATCAGCCACATGTGCGAGCGCAACGGAGAAGATCAATAGTACTTGCGTTAGGCTCGCCCGTCGCGCCATCATTAGAAAAGTACTTGGCCGTTGGCGACCTGTACCTGGGATCGCGTTGACGCGAGTGCGTTTGTTTATTTGTTGTTGCTCCATCAAGCTGTTGGTCACGGGAACTGTTGCATGTTGATTAGGCAGTGGTAAGCTGATTGGCTGGCGTGCATGATCTTGCTGCTAACCCTTATTTTCATCGCGGGATCTTCCCCGCTGTTCTCCAGAAACAAGCCGACCGTCTCGTTACGCCGTGCCCTTTAAATCGCATGAAATACGTTCGCTTGTTTAGCTGTCCGTCCGTCTGCGTTAATTAATCCCCACCTCCTTCCCCGCTCGATGACGACCGCCGAACATGTCAGACCCCCAGCTCTACACCGTGGGCTGGATCTGCGCTATCGCCACTGAGTCTGTCGCAGCTCGAGCCTTCCTCGACGAAGAGCACGACGGACCTAGCCACGTCGCTCAGCACGACAACAACAGCTATGTTCTCGGCAAAATTGGCAGGCACAACATCGCCATCGCCGTCCTGCCGGATGGAGAGTATGGCACTACCTCGGCGGCGGTGGTAGCGCAGGGTCTCATTCACAGCTTTCCAAACGTGCGCATCGGGCTGATGGTGGGCATCGGGGGCGGCGCACCCAGCTCGAAGCATGATATACGTCTTGGCGATGTGGTTGTCAGCAGCCCTAATAATGGCAAGGGCGGCGTATTCCAGTATGACTTTGGCAAGACGATTCAGAACGTCGCGTTCCAAGAAACGAGGCTCTTGGCCCACCCCCCGATGATATTACAGACGGCTGTGAGCTCCCTCAAGAGCACCTACGAGCTACGGGGTCACCATCTTGCAGACGAGGTAGAACGGGCCTTGAAGTGCATCAAAAAGCGAAAGAAGTACGCACGACCTGCTCCAGCACGCGACAGATTGTACAAGCCCGACGCTGTTCACCCGATAACATCCGACAGTTGCGACGATACATGCGATGCAGCTTACCTGGTGGCTCGTGGCGACCGAGACGAGGAGAATGACGATCCCGCCATACACTACGGTCTGATCGCCAGCGGAAACCAGCTGATGAAAGATGCACGGATCAGGGACAAGCTGGCAATGGACAAAGGAGTCCTCTGCTTCGAGATGGAGGCGGCCGGCCTGATGAACCACTTTCCGTGTCTGATAATCCGTGGCATATGCGACTATTCCGACTCGCACAAAAACAAGGAGTGGCAGGGGTTCTCCGCCATGATGGCGGCAGCATACGCGCGGGACCTTCTGGGGCAGATCCCGCCAAACAAGATCGAGGCGGAAAGACCGATTTCCGAGGCCCTCCATGCTAGTCAGTTTGCACGTGATTTGTATTCGCTCTATCTAACTCGGCGTAGTTGAACACAAAATCGACAGGCTGCAGCAGACCACCGCGGCAACGAGCGCTGACCGACGTACCGATAAGATCGAGCGATGGCTTCGCCCCCCCGATCCGTCCACAAACGCCAACCATGCGAGGAAGCTTCGCCATGAGGGAACGGGCACGTGGCTTTTGGAACACCCAGTCTTCCAGGAGTTGTACTCAGGGTCGCGTCGACATTTATGGCTGCATGGGCTCGCGGGATGTGGCAAGACTGTCCTTAGTGCAACTGTGCTGGATTATCTCGCAAAGGGAAGCGGCCGTCTTATCCTCAGCTTCTTCTTCGACTTTGGCGACAATGCAAAGAAAACTGTAGACGGCATGCTGCGGTCGCTTGTCTTCCAGCTTTATCGAGGGGGGACTGATTCTGCGCGTGTCCTCGACGCCTCATTCCAAGCACATGGAGATGGCTGCGACCAGCCTTCGACGAAAGCGCTCTCAGATGCTTTGTTCACGATGCTCGCAGCTCAAGAGCAGGTTTTTATCGTTCTGGACGCCTTAGACGAGTCGACATCGAGAGATGAGCTTCTCCGCTGGATTAAGGACACAGTGTCTAGGCAAGGCCTTAGCCACGTCCAACTGATATGTACCAGTCGGCCTGAACGCGAATTCCAGTTTAATATACCCTCCTTAATGGGCGAAGAGAACAGCTTGGCACTCGATAAGCAATCCGTGAACGTCGACATTCGATCGTATATTACAGCACAGCTTTCAGAGCGGCGTGATTTTCGGGACAAGTGCTTGTCCCCAGAAATCCGCAACGAGATACAGAGAAAGGTCGGAGACGGGGCCGACGGCATATAAGACAGCACTGCTTCAATCGAAGTATTGATACCTTTCTGACGGTGTGTTTAGGTTCAGGTGGGTATTCTGTCAATTGGACAGCCTAGCTCGATGTCGTCACGAGAAGGCGATTGTGGACGCTCTCGCATCTCTGCCACCGGACCTGGCAGTCACATACCGGCGTATGATTGAAAGTAAACCGACAGAGCTCAACACTGACGCGATGCGGCTCCTGCAATTTCTAGTGCATATAGAGCGACCACTCACGCTTGCGGAGGCTAAGGAAGTGATAGCCACACAGATCGAAAACGAGCCGCGAGGGTTTGACGTCAAGCGTCGACTATATCGCGACGCCGATTTGTTAGACTACTGTCCCAGCTTAGTGACAATTATTCACGCCACCAATGATGAACTACATCTTGCCCACTTTTCCGTCAAGGAGTACCTACTCAGGGAGAACAAGTTCGATATTATAAGTGCGAGTGTTTCTATTACGAGCACATACCTAACGTATCTCACGGATATCAAGGGCAGCTATCGGGGGATCGAAAAGAATTTTCCGATGGCAAGACGTGCGGCTATAACCTGGACACGTCATGCTGCCTTGACTCCAGCATCGAAAGATGTAGCTCGAGCGATAGTCAAGTTCCTTGAAAATGAAGAGACTTTCCAGCGATGGACTTGTTTATATCAACCTGATAGGGCTTGGGACAGTGATCCAGGCCTACCACGAGGTTCTCAGCTTTACTATGTCTGCTTCGAAGGGCTCGTGGAGCCTGCGCGAGGTCTTATCGCCCAGGGAGCTGACGTCAACTCGCAGGGTGGCGTCTTTGACAACGCTCTCCAAGCCGCCTCATACAAAGGTCATCAAGAGATTATCAGACTCCTCTTGGACAACGGGGTTGTAGTTACGGTGGTTACCGCAAAGCAGACCCAGGCTGGCCACAAAATGGGGGACGGGCTGTGCCAGTGACCGTCCGCCTAGTCCGGGATCCGGGACGTCAATATGCAAAAGACGCTTGCAAGAGTCCTTACCGTTTAGGACAGCAGACAATATATACTCGCGCGCAGCGGAAAGACGCGTGAGATGACCCTGGCTGATTATTTCAGACTCGTCATCTGACAAGGGCGCCGGTTGGATGGAGCGATGACGCCCTCCACCTTGCGGTCTGAGGATGGTGACGGGAGATCAGCTCTGCCGGCTCTCCTCGGTGGCCTATCCTTGTTGCCCCTCAGTCCGTAATATCTGTCGCCCGTGCCCGGGTCCCAGTACCACGATCGGCCGCCTTGAACGACCCTGACCCTAGACCCGCCATGCCGAGGCCGCTGGTCGCCCCGTCCGCAGACCGCTAGAGGGCTATGAGCCCATCTGTCCCGACACATACTCCGTGACGAGCTTGACAACGAGGATGGAAGGACCGACGAATTTTCGCTCACAGGAACGAGCGCGAAGATAAGACTCCGAACCCGGAATACGACAATAACAGGCGGTGGACATCGTCTGAACGGCTTCAACCCGAGGAGTTGGACCGAGAACCAGGCGGGGGAATGCACCACGACCCTATCGACTCGGACGAGCTCGCCGGATTGAAGTTGCAAGACGGCGAGAATACGCAAGCGTATTTGCAGATGAGGGCCGGGCCGTTGTTATCGGACCATCTAGCCTTAGCCAAGGAAGACGATAGAAACATGACTAACAAGCGGACCGTTTGCCCTCATCTGAAGAAGCCGGTATAAATATGGACCTGGGCTGACTCTGAGCCCGACATAGATGCTGAGGGCTTTCTCGGCCGCGGCTTTCTCGGCAGCTAATGACCGGTGAGTAGTGATAGTGGAAAGGGGAGAAAAGCTCCGAATGAGGAAGATCCTCTGTGTCCATATGTTCCTATCGTTAGCCATAGCAAATGCCGTGCTAGAACCTAGGAAAAAGGCGGAGTGTCGATTGCATTCTCTCTATCGCCACGGGAAGAGGACACTGTGATTTTCTATGATAACGATGGCCGAAACTTTGCTGCTATTCACATATGGACATAATGAACCGGGTCTGCCAGGGTAAATACACATTGTTCTAAGGCTCTCACGTAGATGACAGTGACTACTTGGGCAGATTATCAAACCTAGATGCCCGAACCTTTTCCACCCGTATCGGATCTATTCAATGTCCATCAACCCAGTAGTCATCTACAATAGGGCGGCCATCCCAATGTACGCGACACTGCTGACGGCCCTTCCAGGTCCATCTTAGGCCCGAACCTCTCACAAGCAGGCAACACAAACGACTCCAGAAAACCGGCAAATGGAAGAGGCAGGTCCTCGATGCAAGTGACGAGATTGCATCATTTCTCATCTGTTGCCGGTCAGGTGGTGACGCTGAAGTAGTAGACTGGTTCTAGAGGGCTCCTTAAGCTTCTGTCTTCGAGCCACCGCAAGGGCTATCTAAGAAACTCGCTCTCAAGGCACTAGCGATCAATACAAGCTCCCAAATTATTAAATATGTATGCGTGCTCCACTTCTATGCTAGATACCTGATATGGCCATGTCCAGTGGTGAGTCCTCACGTTATTCCTTATTCATTGTGGTTAGTGGCCACGGGTGCCCTGCGCTTTCACTCTCACTACTGGCATTATTATTACTGGCGGCCAAAGCCCAAGTGCCGAGATCGTGGCCGAAAACGGGCGACTACAAGGATGAGGATGAGGGGGAAGATAAAGACTAATATAGGCAGGCTGATTGAAACTAGCATTGAGGTTTCTGCTTTTATAGGCACGTTGGTTTCTTTTCTTCTTCCTCGGTGTGTCCTGTGAGAATGCGACTATCTCTTATACACTGGCTCAGTGTTACGCTAATAACGTATATGAAATTAGCCACTGAATGAAAACACAGAGCGAAAAAGGAAAGAGAAGGAGAAGGAACAAGCATACTCCAAGAAACAACGGCCGACAGCGGGCGTCGTGATTGTTTTTAAGCCCTTGAATCTCCTCGAGTATCACGCGCATTTCTTTGCAGGTTCGCTCAACGGTGGCAGGCTTTCCCCCCTCATGCTGCCAGCGGTAAACGTCATGCCACATTTTGTCGTAACGGCGAAGCTTCCTCTCTATGTGGCAGCACACTGTACAAATTGTAGGTTGTTCTTCGGTCTCGTAGACCAGCATGAGGCCACAAGTCTGGCCTATGCGGTATTCCCTGTTGCACTGCTCACCGAAACGACCCCATCGCCAATAACCACATTCCCAAAGGATTTGGTAATAGTAACACATACTTACACGTACAGGATGGGGATTGGGACAGTGAGCCTGCAGGCCTAGTAAACTCGGTACGAATGGGGAAAAAAGAACAAAAACTAGGAAAACGAACATCAGGAAGGGATGAAAAGGCCCTTTTCATAGAGGAGAGCCAACAGTTTTGTTGGCTCTAAAGCATGTCCACAACCAACAACCCATTCTCATCCTGGTGTGTGTGGATTCTCTCAAAGTTGTGCCACATGTTGCACCACTGGTGGAGGGGTAAAGAGCAAAGATTTCTGAGCCCCAAAAATGTAAAATTAGATGCCCTTTCATCCCTGGGGTCCGGTTGCTCATAACCAGCTAATAATGAAGTTGAGTGAGTAGAGCTAAATATTCAATGAGCCTCCATTCCTGGGTTAAGTTCTTGGCCTCCTCGAAGAGCGTATTTTTTTGGCTTGTTGGTTTACCGAGCATATGATCTCATTCCTCCTATATCGCAGCAGACAAGGTGGGGATTTGCGCCGATGTGAAAGGTTAAAGAGGTGATTCAGCATAGACTGCATCCCGCAAGGCTGACGGTGATCAGTTGCACATAACTACCAGACTAATTTAAAGCTTGCCGGCGTCCGCTTCCAGCTGTGTAAGAAACACATGATCGCATCACGATTGATTTGATGAATTATGAGAAAGATGAACCGGTTGTGCAGTTTTCCTTTCCTTAGTGTTGAAAGAGTGCGGCATGGATTAGACGAATCATTTCTGTTGAGATTTCTATACGTAGTTTATACTTGTCCGAAGAAGACGGTACAGACGTGGACCTAGACCTCTGAGCCCTACGACAAAGACGATGAGGGAGCAGCTTTGTCGGCAGATAATGACCGGTGGGTAGGTGGAAAGGGGAGAAAGGCTCTCAACGAGGAAGATTCTGTCTACTGCGTAACGTCACTTGCCTGGTTTTCCATGTATTCAAATGTTCCCGCTGCCAGCCAGTGGCCTCGAATAGCAGGTTACGCGATATCATCACAGTTAGGAGCATGGGCTTTCCCTTTTACACTACTGGCTGGCCAGCCGAAACAACACGTTGAGTGAGACCGCTTTCGTAAATACTTTATCTTCTAATAATTAGGAAGTGATTTTGAAGTATCTAGATGAATTGCTTGTGGGCCAAGCACATATTATAGGTGCTAGGTGGCTATAGGGTACCTACCTAATGGTATTGTGGGATCGTACTCGGACCGTTGGCGCGGTTGGACCGTGAGAACAATTGGACGCTTGCCTGTCCCTGGCGCTGGGCTTTTTGCAGGGAGTGGGGAGGATCGGCCACCGCTGGGGTAATCACACTGTGTTTTTGACTAACAGCGGAGCCACCACACTCACGCTGGTGGGTTTCTGCATGGAGCGCGCGCCAGCACAAAAACATGACCTGGGTTCTCGATGAGACTCCACTCGTGAGGCTGTCCAAGGGTGTTGTGGCGGCAACAGCTGGTGGCAGTGCCTGCACGAGGTCGACAGCTGGACCGTCTGTAGCAGCCTTATGCGTGCGTCGAGGTTTCCCCTCATTTCCGTCGACGTCCAAGAGCGTCCCTTCCTTTCCTCTCAACAATGTTCCAAATCTCCCATCCCGCGACACCCATCTCGACCAACAATTACGCATCGAAGAAAGAACCATTTGTAGTATACTGCCAGGTGGACACTTCGGTTTGGTGGGCGGAGACGACTTTGGACGCAAAACCACACCGAGATGATGGCCTTTCCCCGTCAAAAAGAGCAGGTAACCCCAGACGATGACCTAAGAAGTGGGTCGCCTGCTTCGCACGACCAGTATACAATCGCCTGGATCTGTGCGCTACCCATAGAGATGGCCGCAGCCCGCGCCATGCTAGACAACATCCACCAAGACCTGCCCAGGCATACGAACGACACCAACACCTACACGCTCGGCAACATCGAGCGCCACAATGTCGTCGTTGCGTGTTTGCCGACGGCCCAGTACGGAACGAACAACGCGGCGAACGTGCTGACCCACCTCATCCGAACCTTCCCATCGATCCGCCTTGGTTTGGTGGTGGGAATCGGAGGTGGAGTGCCGACCAGGGTCGATATGCGTTTGGGCGACGTCGTTGTTGGGACGAAGGTGATGCAGTACGACCTAGGGAAGATCATCGGAGACGGACAGATTCAGCGCACTGCGATCCCGAAGAGCCCGCATCACCTACTCGGCACGGCCGTGTCGTCCCTACAAGCAAGGCATGAGCGCGACGGTAGCCGAATCCCGCTCATATTAGAAGGAAAGTTCGACGGACATTCCAAGTACGGCCGCCCAATCACGGCAGACCGCCTGTTTTTCTCGACGTACGATCATACATCTACAGCACCTAGCTGCGATGAATGCGACCATTCGAAGCTGGTACCTCGAAGCAAGCGGAGCACGGATAACCCGATGATACATTACGGCACGATCGCCTCGGGCAACCAAGTCATGAGGAACGGCGCCCAGAGAGACATCATCGCTTAGCAACTGGATGCCATTTGTTTCGAGATGGAGGCTGCCGGTCTAATGGATATTCGTCCCTGCCTGCCGATCCGGGGGATTTGCGATTATTCTGACTCTCACAAGAACAAGGAATGGCAGAGATATGCCGCAGCTACCGCAGCTGCTTATGCGGGGGAGTTGCTGGAGGTGCTCCCCGTCGCTGAAGTGCAAACGACGGTCGCTCCGGCGCCGAATTCTCGTAAGTCAAGTCCAGTGTTTCCGGACCATGCTCTCGTCATTACGGTCGAGCGCATCTTAGAAATAGACAGCAAAGATAGAACCCCCGTCCTATCTCCAATACAACCCACCACGTTGTCATGCGGCCTCAAAATGCTGACGTCAATGTCTTGTAGTGCAGACTTCCTTCCAAGTAGCCTTTGGCCTACAAGGCGTGCCCGTATCAGACAAGTTTGTCGATAGACCAACCGACAGGGCTGCGCTCGAGCAGTGTCTTTTGCCACAGCAGCCCCCTACCGAACGACGGGGGGTATATTTGCATGGGCTTGGCGGCATCGGCAAGACGCAGCTGGCTATCGACTTCGCCCGTCGTTACAAGGCCACCTTTAGTGCGATCTTCTGGCTAGATGGGCGGTCTGAGGATCAATTGAAGCAGAGCTTCGCCAGATGCCTTGGCAGAATCCCTGAACTTCGGACCGCTAGCCGCAACGGCTTGAACCTTAATAGCAAGGAGAGTCTCAATGTTGCGGTGATGAAAGTGATTGAGTGGCTCGCTAGACCAAGCAATACTCAATGGCTGCTGATTTTTGACAATGTCGATCAAGATCAGCAGCAAGGTGGTGCAACGGGGACATATGACATCCAGCAATATTTCCCTGGAGACCATGGTTCAGTCCTGATAACGACACGATTGTTACGCTTGCAACAGCTGGGTAGCTCAAAGCATTTGACCCACGCCGACCCAGACCAGAGCAGGGCCATTCTACAGACGTGGTATGGAAAAGAACTGCGTGGGTTACAACTCCCGGTCACGCTTTAGTCCTTGCCACGGCGCTAACTTTGGTTCTAGATTGGCGCCCAGATTACGACACCCTTCTCGAGTTGTTACAAGGTTTACCACTGGCTTTGGCGCAAGCTGCATCATACTTGCGTGAGACAGGCATGGATGTTGCAACCTACATCCAGATTTACAACCAACAATGGCGAAAGCTCATGGAATCTGATGATCCTCTGACGGATTACCACCAAGGAAGTATTGCCACTACATGGGCAGTATCTCTCGACGCGATCGAACGTAAGAGTACGGATGCCACGAATGTATTACGGCTGTGGGCGTGCCTCGACAATAAACAGTTCTGGCATGGTTTACTCGAAGTAGCCAAATCTGCGGACTTTGAAGAGCAGTGGTCACCTTGGCTGTTTCGTATGGCAAACGATGTGGCCTGTTTTGCAGATGCGATGGGACTTCTGCTCCGTTATTCGATGATCCAGGCCCAAGCAGAGCCAAGCGGGAGTTACGCCATGCACCCAGTAGTGCATCGATGGGTACTGCATCTGGACAGCAACGAGAAGAATAGGGATTTTGCGCGCCTGGCACTTGTATTGCTTGGCCGTTTAGTACCAGGCCGAGAAACGAAAGAGTATTGGATTCTGCAGCAGAGGATCCTTCCCCATGCAGAGCAATGTTCAACGTGGATACAAGAGGACCTCTTACGATCGGATGAGACAGCTACTAGTGACAAGGCTGTGATAGACTCGGTCCACTGCCTTGGGGTTCTCTACAGGGACCAAGGCAAGTTTAGCGAAGCTGAGGCGATGTACAATCGAGCACTGGAAGGCAAAGAGAAGGTACTTGGGCGTGACCATGCATCGACTCTCGAAACCGTCAATAATCTAGGTGTTCTCTACAAGGACCAAGGCAAACTCAATGAGGCTGAGGTGATGCTTGACCGAACACTGGAAGGTAGGGAGAAGGCACTTGGGCGTGACCATATGTCGACTCTCGATACCGTCGATAACCTAGGGATCCTCTACTGGAGCCAAGGCAAGCTCACCGAAGCTGAGGCGATGTATAATCGAGCACTGGAAGGCAAAGAGAATGTACTTGGACGTGATCGTACGTCGACTCTCAGAACCATCAATAACCTAGGGGTCGTCTATAGGGGCCAAGGCAAGCTCAGCGAAGCTGAGGTGATGTACAATCGAGCACTGGAAGGCTACGAGAAGGCACTTGGGCGTGACCATACGTCGACCCTCGATACCGTCCACAACTTGGGGATCGTCTACTGGAACCAAGCCAAGCTAGGTGAAGCTGAGGCGATGTACAATCGAGCGCTGGAGGGCAGGGAGAAGGCATTTGGGCGTGACCATGCGTCGACTCTCAGAATTGTCAATAACCTAGGGGTCGTCTACTGGGACCAAGGTAAGTTTAGCGAGGCTGAGGCGATGTACAATCGAGCACTGGAAGGCAGGGAGAAGGCACTTGGGCGTGGCCATGCGTTAACTCTCTCGACCGTCGATAACCTAGGTGTCGTCTACAGGGACCAAGGCAAGCTAGGCGAGGCCGAGATGATGTTTAACCAAGCACTGGAAGGCAGGGAGAAGGCACTTGGGCGTGGCCATGCGTTAACTCTCTCGACCGTCGATAACCTAGGTGTCGTCTACAGGGACCAAGGTAAGTTCAGCGAGGCTGAGGCGATGTATAATCGAGCACTGGGAGGCAGGGAGAAGGCACTTGGACGTGATCATACGTTGACTCTTGATACCGTTCACAACCTGGGGTTCTTTACAAGGACCAGGGTAAGTTTGAAGAGGCTGAGACAATGTTCAACCGAGCACTGGAAGGATTCCAGTCCGCCCTTGGACAAAGCCACCCAAAGACGCAAACTGTTACGCATGACTTGCAGCTCCTGCACTCCAGCCAAGGTAAGGGCAACCAAACTATGATTTTGTGTGCACGTCGCCTGATCGAAACAGATACATACCCAGGCAGACCTGTAAGGATTGAATCGGCAAGTGGGACGGTGTTTCTCAAAAAGCTTGCGGACAAATTTCGCAAACACCGGAAACGGTAAGAAAGTACAATTAGCATAGGCATCTTCTCAGGGCAAGATCAATTTAAGCAATTTTTGGCAGGCACAGAGTGAATTCAACACAAACCAACCCTGCATAGGGACCTCTCATTGTCATATCGAATTGGGCAGGTGTTTGAGTTTAGTCAATTGCCGGACTTGGATCGTACCCTGAGAGCGATGTGGAAGGGCATGGTGGATCTCATCCCAAGAGCAGCCGGCCTGTCTCAGGGTGCGCACTATGCTTTCCTCCTTCGCTGTCCACTTTCGACGGGATGGCGGTTCTATGAGGCAAAGTCGGAGACGATTCTCCGTCTTCGGGATGCGGAACGGATGTCTGAGCATGTAGCTGATCCGACTCAGGTGTCCATTCAACCTGCAGTTGAAACGTCGTCATGCTGCCCTCGGTGATACGCTCTAGACAAACGTTGCTGAGGAGCCATTCCTCGAATCGAGCAAGGCATGTGCCAAGGTCGAGCGGGACTGCACCTGTTTTCGGTATTGCTGGGCTGTGTTCGACGCCTCCTAGGAGACCGCGCAGTACTTCTTGTAGACCGTATCTGACGAAAGCTCAGAACGCCGAGAGGCGAGGGGTAAGGGGATAGAGATACTTTTCGACGCTTGCGGCGATTCAATTCTTCGTCTTCGTGATCGTCTCCAGATTCATATCTTTGAACATCCGGTCATGAAGGACAATGATCATCGTCACGACCGCGTTGTGGAACGTCAAGACCATCTTCGCCATCAGAACCTTCGGTATGTGTATCCTCTCCATCCTTATCTTGCACCACCTCGCATGGATATTCGCATTGCAGAGGCAGGTGCAGAAGAAAGCCATTATATAATGTAGCTGTTCTCCTATGATTATAGCGTAAAACACTTCGAACCTTTTAAGAAAAAACAGTACATAAGTCAAAAGTTCTACAAGTAACGTTACGTTTGTCGCCATCCAAACCCTTGTTCAACAGCGATGGATGCATCACCGAGCGTAGGAGAACTCCTAAAGCGAAATGCGTAATTACATCTCTCGGCAGTGGTGGCATGGAAATCATACGCTAATGTTAAGCAGAAGAAGAGTTGAAACCTTTGGACCTATCTTAACTTTGAGCGAGATAAGCGAGCTTCCTGTCGAGCCGAGTCTGCCTATGCCAAAAATATTTATTGGTATAGGCCTCTTTTACCCATTCCTGGAACTCCAGCTCTAATGGAATCCACTGGCAGTTTTCTGTTGTGGCCCTCGCATTGACCTATGAGATATTTTGGGCCTTGAAAAATGGGGTACTATCTTCCTTTTATCTAATGCTACACAGATAATTAACTTTGTTGCAGATGCCGTAGTCACTCGTGGAGCTGCTGGTCACATGGTGGCTCAGCTTAACAACCTACTCTTCCTCGACGATGTTCTTAAGTTCAACGACATTATGATTATTCATCATACAGGTATCGCATTCAATTGTTTCACTCAACATTTTCAGTGTGAGTATGCAAACTAATATTGAAGGCAGATTGCTCAGCCGAGCTCTTCGGTTCAACACGACGAGCCAGTGCCGCCTGACGCGGTTTCAGAAGCGTCCATCATGGCTAGGTGTTTTTGTCCAAGCATCATCTATTCTTGCTTGTCCCTATCGTCTTGGTGTCTCCTCTCCTGCTGCCGTGTTTGGTCCTGGATGGCCAAATGGATGTCTTGGAGATTCATCTCTATAGCACTTGCGGCGTCGGTGAGTTTCCGAAGTTGCGTCTTGCTCTCTTCAGTATTGTATTGTTCCATGTCTCTTTGCACGGCAGCCTCAGCTTCCTGGATCTCGCTGAGCTGGCCAGCCCAGTCATCGAGTTTGAGCATATCCCTTCCGATGACGGCAGCCCAGTTCCGGTGATAAAGGCAGATGCTCTGTATCTGATACGACAAAAGTTTCACGTAGAGCTGCACGACGTGCTTCTCCAGTTGGACTCGCAGTCCCGCGGAAGATTGCTCAGCCTTGTTCTCGTCGAGAAGCAGGGACACCAAGTTCCAATACCACTCCATTCTTGACAGAACGTAGACGATGCCTTTGGGATTGTCGCGTGCCTCGGTGACGGGGTTCGAAAGGATCTATCATCTGTCAGCGGGGGGATCATCCACCGTTCTCTCTTCGGTTGGGAAAGCTGATCACACACACCTCTAGTCCAAGGCAGACGCCGGCCCAGGCGACGGCGGCTTCCGGTGCGGTCTGTACCGCCTTGTCCACTATCCCCCTCACCGCTTGCACTGTTTGCAGGCCTTCGTCGATACCTCGCTTGATGGACGCTGCTCTCTGCGTCCGGTCTAGTCCATCCTGGACCAACTGCTGCATTTGGCGGCATCTTGTCTCCCGAGCCCCCCCATCTCGTTTTCCGTTGATTCGCAAGTAACAGAGCTCGGGGCGTTTCGGTGAAGTCCAACTGATAGGATCTTCTCGTACGCTTCGACCAGTTTGGGTTCGCTCGCTTTGAGCTCGTCGTAGGCCTGGTTCCAAAGTCGCTCTTGTAGAGTCGGCAGCGGCGAGGTGTCGGAATCCGTCGAGGTAGGTGGAGAAGGCGTTGGCTGAGATGTTGGTTGAGTTGCTGGTTCGGATGCAGGCTGAGACGGTGTCGGCGAAGGTGTTGGTGGTGAAGGAGCGGAGGCAGATTCGGGGGGAGCGGCATGCAATAGCCTTCTGGCCTTGAATTTGGCTTTCTCAAACAAGCTAGGCGCCATCTTCACAGAGGACACCTTCACCTTGGCCTTGTTGCGCGATATGACGGTATCAGCGAGATGACCTTCTCCCCCGATTGATGATGAGTCGGGATGACGATAGAGTGTCACAACTGACAACTTGGGCAGCAACATCTTTGCGGGATTTCTCGTGCGGGGAGGGGAGGCGTCAACACTGAAAAGGACCCCTGTAGCCAGGCGCAGCTTGCGAGTCCAATAGGACAGCCGAATTATGTGATGTGCAGCTACGCCAGGTCAATCGCAGGGCTCTGCCGTGTTGGAATGGGAAAGTGCAATGCAAAGCAGGTGAGGAGAGAGGTAAGAATAGGCTGGCACGATTTGACTTTATGTGCACGGCCGGTTGTCAGATCACGCCGGGCGGGTAGCTTACCCTGGCCATCCACAGGACGGGTACAAGGAGGTGGTGCCAATAATCGGTATTGCCTTCCCAGCTATTCGATAATGAGCATAGCGGCCGCCAGTAGTATGGCAGTTGCCAGTCGTAAATGTGGGTTCACCCGTTATCTCGGGTCGATGTCCGCAATTAGCCGCCTCTCCACGCCTTTGATGTGGGGCATGGAGCGTCGTTGCTGCGTTGCTAACTCAGGAGGTTGGGTATGATCCAGCCAGACCACAGAGAAAGCGTGAAGCTGTTGTTCGGTCAAAAAATATGGGCAAGAGCTGGTTGACGGGAGATGATAGTGCAAAAAAAAGCCCTACACTGGCCGTCGGAAGGGCAAATGGCGTGCTGACCTCTGACTCCAGAGTCAAAGATGCTCCTTCTAGATAAGCGAGCCCCGGCGGTGGAGTATTGGAGGCACAGTGTCGCGACTTTGGCGGATAGGTCGATGATTGTGACGACACTTGCGGCGAGTCCTACCGCCTCGGCCATGGCAAACGACGATATTCTGACGGTTAGGGAAGCTGTTTCGAAGGTGATTTGGCTTGCGGGGCCCCATCGGGGCCATAACAGGCACAGAGAAGACCATAGGAGAGTTCATCTTCCTCTGCAAAGCTGGTCTCGACACGCAGCCGGACCTCGCGACTGCCTTCAGAACCAAGGCAGACCGAGGTATTGGAGGGGGAGCAAAGGCCCTCCAAACAACGACGCTGGTTGCAGAGGTTTTTCTCCCTGAAGGCAACCTGCACGATTGTAGACAGCTTAGCTCAGCACGTCCTGTGCCCCGGCAGCCCCTACGTGCACCACCCGGTACACTGCACCCCTGGGCCTTAGTCAGCAACAACCCACTGTAACTCCTTTCCTCTCAGTGCCCTAAGGGCTATCTTGACCACGTAAAATACAGCATTTTGCACCCCTTCTATGGCCTTCAATATGGCATTTACTGCAGGTAGGTAATTTCTTCTCTAATGGCTCTTGCGGCTGCTGGCTCTGCTGGCTCTGGGGCTCTCAGGACCCGTGGTTGTGGTGGGAAAATCGGGCTTCAGTGCGTTGTTGGAGATACCATAGCTCGTACGAGTTTTCTTTGGCAAGGATTGAAAATTGGCAGCCTTGACGCCAGCGATTGCAAGCATATAGAATAGTAGGCCGCTCAGAGCCTCTCCATTGTGAACGTGAGTGTTGAATAATCCACTTATAGCCGCTAATTGTTGCGTAAATTGCAGGATCAAGCTCAAGCTCTTCTCGCGAGGGTCTTCCATTGATTATTGTAGGTGCTAAGTTATAGGGCCCTTAGGGCACCGAGAGGAAAGGAGTTACAGTGGGTTGTTGCTGACTAATGCCCAGGGAGTGCAGTGTACGGGGCGGTGCACGTAGGGGTTGCCCTGTGCCCCGGGGCCCAATAGGGGACCTGCCCGGACTCAAGGCTCTTTTGCGCAAACCGCGACCTGTTTGCCTCTGCTGGTGGAGAGCTGTTCGCTCCTCCACTGTCGCTATGCTAACCACATTCATTCATAGGGGACGCGCCCGACTCTGTCCGCGACCAGATGATGCGCCAAGACCCTCGGTTCATGACCTTCCAAAGCGCCTACCTGAACGAGAACGCCAACTTCGACCTCCAGAACGCCTTCCTGGAAGAGGAGAAGGAGAGCCAGCTGTTCTGCGCCCACGTCAGCCTTACGCGTGATCCCCGAGCCACGGCGGACATGGTGCCCGATGAAGTCTGGGCAAACTTGGCGCCCGACCCGGAGATCGTCGAGCTTGAGGGGCAGCGTGCACAGCTCAAGCAGGGCAAGTACCGCATCGACGGCCATGAGCATGAGAAACGAATCCGGAAGCTCACCGATGAGATTCGCGTGAAGCTGAGGACTACTTCTACCACCGCCCTGCTTGGGATATTGAACGGCAGGCACGAGGGGAGGACGAGGAGGAGTACGAGGAGCCTGTTATCGATGTCACTGTGCCGGAACGCGAAAGGTTGGCAGAGATCCTCTGTAACCAGCCCGACGACTTGACGGAAGACCAGACCACCCAACGAAGGATCGAGTCGATCGATCTCATGGTGGCTCTCTGTGGCAAAAGAGAGACGGTCAGGCGCCCCCATGCCCGACAGAGCGCCAAAGCCTGCCTGTCTATAAAGACTGAGCCTCTCGAAATAGAACACGAAACGTTGCCCCGCCCTGATCTATTCCCTCTGCTCCTGCATGCTGCGCAATGCCCCGATTGTATTAGTGATGAGCGACTCTCTCGCGAAGAGCGTACCTTTACATACTGCCGCCCGACTGTCATAAACGACCATTTCGATAACCAGCATTTAGCCAGACGCGAGCAAGACGAGCGGAGCGGTGAGAAGATACGCTGCGAGCACCCCAAGTGTCGAGACGCCAAATTTCAACACGTCAACCACTTCCGGCGTCATGTTCAGGAAGTTCATGGTGTTACGCTGCGGACGTCAGCGCAAGTGCAACAGAGGCGGCAGCGAAAGGAAAGGCGTCGCCAAATAGTGAGGAAATAGCGCAAGTTAGTATAATAGGGAGTAGACATAGACCGGTCGTTAATAAATAATGATAAAACTTTGCCATGTGTTGTTCTAACCCCTTGTACGACGCCCTATGATGTCTCAACTCCAGCAGCCGCCCGAGAGGGAGACCAACCAGTCCAGCAACAGACGTGGTGGCTCAAGGGGCCAAGATTCCGATTCTCCAGAAGAGAAAGGATTTTTCCGAAAGAACGGGTAGACTCTGCCAGCGAAATTTCTCAAGCCGGGCTTCGTCGATAGTTTCGAGCAGACCCAGTCGGCGACATTTCCTAGGCCAAGTTTTGTCGATAGTTTCGATTTGTCGCTTTTCTAATGCCCAATTCAAGTCCCTGAGGTTGGGCAGGGCCTTGATAAGGTTATCAATCTGAGGCTCGAGCTCCCAAGCTCGGACGGGCCTTAAATTAGGCCTACTGCCAAGAATATGGACTGGTGATCCTCTACCCATTTTTCACTGTCAAATGATGACTTTTTCGATTTGACACTGGCCGTATCTTATTGTAATCTTATCGGCCTATGGCGAAGCATTGTGTTATCACCTGCAGCCTGGTCACAATGCTGTCATGTAATTTCAACAGGTAGTGATGTCATACGATACTCATTTATATGCCGGATGACAGCTTGCCTGTCTGAATTTGATACAAAAGTGTAATCCAAACAGACGGAACAGACCCACAGAATAATGCGCCTGGCATGGCCTTATCACCTGGTAAGCAAACCTTGCCTGTCATCCTCTGGCTACTTGTAGCCTAGAGTAAGGCTGACCCCAGAGGTCTCCATACAAGCTACGAGTAGCCCATGTTTAGGTCATCAAGTCATCAACCCCCCGTACTAGTAGCGCAGGCCAGTGGATGATCCCATTATAGGCTACTAGTAGTTTGGGATAAGATTGACCCTAGAGGTCTCCATGTGACAGGCTACCAAAGGGGGAACCTGGCAAATGGCCTTAGCGAATGGCCTAGGCAACCGAAGAGGCTACGGCGCGTAGACAGCTACTAGGATCCTAGAATGGGGTTGGCTAGTATCTGTCAAACTTTCTAAGTGAAGAGACACCCCCCAACCCCAAGGGTTAAGAAGGCCGGACGAGGTTAATACTACCAAGACAGACGGGCGTGTACTTCTCCTGAAGGTCTCGAATGAGGTCTTAGATTCCCTATCCATACTACAATCGTTGCTCCTTATTGCCCCTGACACGGCGTACTGACCATGCTAACGTCCACAATCACTGCCAACACAAGGCGTACAAGCCTCGCCTGCACGTTTGTGGCACCTGCAAGCGCTTCTTCGCCCGATTGTACAATCTCAAGCGACACAAGCACACACCAAGGAGAAACCCTTCGAGTGCCCCGAATGCGCACGATGCTTCACCCGTGATGATATGCTACCACGTCACAAGGTAGGAGGAATCCTTCTTACTGAAAAAGGCAACCTCTTAAGAGTCGGTAGCCAGTCTGTTAAACCCAGCAGCAAGATGAGCAGCCCAAAGGTGAAGTATAAAATGCATCCGAGTGTGAAGGCACCTTGGTTGTCACGCAGCAGCGTGCTTGCCAGGAGAAGGAGGAAGAATGCCGAAAATAGCAACAGACCGACAATGGTTGCTTCAAGACGGAGCCATGCAAATGGGACATTGACCTCAATGGAGGTGATAAGACATATGCATGCCATGATACATCCGATGAATATCGAACTTGCGTACGTAAGAACGCCCAGGCCGGGTATATCTGGGCTGTTGCCCGGTGTCAAGATGACCGTCAGAGTTATGGTCCCCGCAAAGGTGGCCGTGGCCAGCATTGCATTGGCGAAGGGACGGTATGACTCTGCCGCGGCGCGTTCGATATGACTCTCTACCGAGCTGGTAGAATCGGCAGAGGTATCATCCAGATTTTTAAGCAAGGCGGTGAGGCGCACTAAGAGTTCTCTCTCGTCATTATCCAGGTCGGGCTCGCGGGGCAGCTGCGGCCTCACTGACCCTTGTCGCGCGCCGGCGACCTTGCCGATTGCAAAGGCGCGCTTGCCGAGTTCTGGACCTAAACAGGCCTCACTATGGGACTCACTGTGCAGTGTAATGAGTATCATGGCCGTCCCAAGACGTATAGAGTTTTGAAATGGGTTCTGTGCAGTTTTGTACATACTCTTTGTCGGAGACCATGGGCTACGATAGAGCAGTGACTAGATCAGATATCAGAGTGGTCTACCGCCCTCCCTGTACGCTTCGGCAGTACAGGAAAATTCAGAGTTGTTGATCCTCACTTGAGGTTTGAAAAGAGAGCTAGGCTAAATCGTCCTTCAGAATCGTCATAACGTCCCACATAACCCCGCTTTCACTTCAGTTCCGAAGAACTCCAAGCGGCGTTGACCACGTGTCTCACGGGGCTCATTTCCACGTCCATCCATTCCACGGACCCACTCTTAACGTCCATTTCCATCCATTCCATTCAAGGTGGGCCCAAATGGACGTCCCTCCATTCTACAAGAGGCTGCGTGGATGGAAATCGAAACCAGGTCCAGCTGCTGTTTCTGGGGTTTGGCGCCTACCAGCTTTTCGATTCTAGAGCGAAGCTACGCAAACTAAGGATACATTCAGGGTGTTTGCTAACTGTAATGCGTATGTGGATATTTGCCATCCGCCGCGCTCGACTCCAACACAAAGAAGCCCTTCACACTGCCGAACAAAGGATGTTAACATATAGTAAGCGTTCATTCATAGAAAAAATGTATTGAACGAGGTAGACTAGTAACACGAGTAATGTAGAGTTACATGCCAGCCTTCTACGCTGACTCACCAAAGCGTTCTAAGCCCTTCCGAAAGTTTGGTAGGCCATTATATCAACGTGACGTGCCTCGATGATGTCAACTCTATGCGAGACTAGCCTTGGATAGCTATATTAGCAGGATTGTGGTCTGGTCAGGCTCTTAGTTATAGGGACTCTGAATACCGATCAGAAATGACTAGTTCCAACAGGAGCCTCGTAGCACTATATTTTACACCACTTGTCCAATAACATATCGTTACTTTTTTGTCCATTCAACATCACCCATGTCGGACCCTCAAAATTACACGGTCGGCTGGATCTGCGCCCTTCCAATCGAGTTCGACGCCGCTCAGGCCTTCCTCGACGACGAGCACGAGGGGTCCCTATCGGTTGCTCAACGCGATAACAACAGTTATGCATTGGGCAGGATTGGACGTCATAACGTCGTCATCGCCGTCCTACCCGATGGGGAGGGAGTACGGCACCAGTTCGGCGGCGGCAGTAGCCTGAGACATGCTGCACGGCTTCCCCAACGTCTGCATCGGATTGATGGTGGGCATCGGTGGTGGCGCGCCCAGCTCGAGACACGACATACGATTAGGCGACGTTGTTGTCAGCAGCCGCGATGGGGCCAACGGCGGCGTGTTCCAGTACGATTATGGCAAAGCTGTCCAGAACCAGGATGCTCCCTTCCAACACACGGGTTTTTTTAGATCAACCTCCAATGGCACTCCGGACGGCCGTCAGCGCACTGAAAAGTAGATACAAGAGAAAAGGGCATAAACTTAACGAGGAAGTAGAGAGGGTACTAGAGAAATGGCCGAGGCTGCGACTCGAATATTCTCATCACCCCCCGAAAGCGATAGGCTCTACAAATCCGAAGTTGTCCATCCAAATTCATCAGAAGGATGCGGAATCGTGTGTAGCAGCAATCCAGACCATCTTGTGCCCCGTGCCAAACGAGGTGAATGCCAGGATGACCCCCATGGTTCACTACGGACTGATCGCCAGCGCAAACCAACTGGTGAAGGACGTGCGGATCCGAGACAAGCTGGCTGCTGAAAATAGCGTCCTTTGCTTTGAGATGGAGGCGGCCGGTTTGATGAACCACTTCCCATGTCTAGTGATTCGTGGGATATGCGACTACTCCGACTCCCACAAGAGCAAAGAGTGGCAGGGCTTTGCGGCCATGATGGTGGCGGCGTATGGGAAGGACTTGTTGGGCCACATTCCGCCCAACAAGGTCGAGGCAGAGAGACCAGTCGGCGAAGTCATTGGTTCCAGTTAGTCTCGCCCCCTCCATTTCTGCAAAGCCATATTCAACTTGAATAGTTCAAGAAGGCGTTAAGCAATTATATCAAACCATTGATGAAACGAAGACTGCGATCACCCACCATACGTGTGTCGAACTTTCCGCCCTCGTAAGTAGGTATCTCGATTAAGACTCTTCTAGTCAACATCCAACAGAGTGTGCAGAATCTGAGGCTCCAGACAGCTGAAGATCTGTCGGTCGCCCGCAGTCCCCATCATATCATACCCTTCACCAGCGATCCCGACTTCGTACAGAGGGCAGATATCTGGACTTGGATAATAGAGCAATATGCGGGGCCTGCGAGGCGTATGGGTCTTGTAGGCATGGGGGGTTTGGGTATGTGCTTCTGACGAAATAGCTTGGCCCGGCTAACGCAGCGACAGTAAATCGCAGCTTGCTATCCACTTTGCGCATAAGATTCACGTAGAGTCACCCGACATCAGCATCTTCTGGGTGAGCAGCAATACGAAAGAGACGTTCGAAGAGTCATACCGCTCTCTCGCAGACGTTCTTGCTCTACCCCGCCGGCACGACCCCGAAGTCCACGTGCTGGTCCTCGTCCTCGATTGGCTGCAGAGGGATGGTGTAAGCCAGTGGCTAATGATTGTCGACAGCGCGGATGATGTCGGTGTATTCTCTCTCAAGGATAACAACGACGATAGAACCCACGGGTCTCTAGCATCATATTTTGCCAAGACAGCCAACGGGAAGATCCTCGTCACATCTCGCAGTATGGACGCTGCGGAGAGGCTCACCGGAAGCAGCAAGACAATCCTGCAGATCCCGGCGATGGACGAAGAGCAGGCATTGCAGTTACTCCGTAGGAAACTTGAAAATAAGGTGGACGAGGACGCCGCCGTCGACCTCATTCATAGCCTCGACCGCATTCCACTGGCGGTAAACCAGGCAGCAGCATACATCAACCGCCGCAGCCCCCGGGTGACCATCCGGTCGTATCTGGGCGAATTTCGCAAAAGCGAAAAGCGGAGGAATAGCCTTCTACGCAGTGACAAAGGGGACCTCAGGCGACACTCAGATGTGTCGAATTCCGTAGTGGTGACGTGGCAGGTGACATTTGAGCAGATCAGAAGAGACCGACCAAGTGCTGCCAACCTTCTGTCACTGATGAGCTATTTCCAAGTTCAAAATATTCCTGAGAGCATTGTACAAGGCTACAATGACGATATTTCGGCTGATCATCAGAACGATCACAGTAATAGCGCTGGCGAGACTGGCAGCCATGGAAGTAGTGGAAAGGATGGGTTCGAGGACGACATGGACGTACTTCGAGGCTACTCCCTTGTTACTCTCACAACCATGGGGCTCTGTGATATGCATTCATTGGTCCAGTTTTGCACTCGCATGTGGATATTGGAGTTTGGAGACCCAAAGCGATGGAACCAGCTCTTTATTCGGCTCGCTGCGGCTTATTTTCCATTGGGGGCGTTTGACACAATGGAAGGGTGCCAAACATTGCTGCCTCATGTTCGCCCTATTCTAGGTCAGGTACTCGAAGACGAGGACAACAGGGTCGAGATCAAAATGCGGGATCTGTCAGTCCGGCCAAGTTGTTCTCGCATCTTGTCTGACCGTGCAGCTGCGACAACAACGGCACCCTTGGTTGCTGCCTGTCGCGATGGATAGGATCCTAGTTATCGTAGCGGCTAGTCATTTGACTAGCTATTGCGACAGAGATCCGATCCCTTATCCGTCTAGCTTGGCTTGCGCAATTCTAGCTGCGATACAATAATCCCTCATCGCTGTTGACAGCATCAAATGTATAGTGCCCGGTCGATGCTCGCGATCCTGTTCGGTCGGATGGATCATGCCTGCAGCTATCGCAAGATGGAAGCTTAATATGTGGTTCGTGGAAGCTAGTGGCCTCTGATGCTATTGGCTAGTAATTTCCTTACGTATTCGAAACAGGTTTGGCTGCACCGGTAGCTTGAAAATCATCCCGTTGGTAACTGATGATATCGACAGCTAACCCGCTGACACCAACAAAGGCATTAATCCCCGGCGCCCTGCCCTACAACTTCATTGAAGTTACACTCATAATCGCAGTGAGATATATATCGTTAGACAATAGCAGTCACAATATGAATTCATAGTAGGCCACACTTTATCTCAGGCCTCCTTCAACAACCGCGCTTAGCGAATATTCTGAGTTCGAGCCGGTAAACAGGGCCAATAGGGGCAGCACTCATCCCATTGGCCTGAAATATAATAATTACATCAGCATATTAACAGGCAGTTACGCAGCCGATTCAATACCAACCAATAGCACAGGATTTTATTCGTCAGGTTCAGTTCCAGATTCTGATTTAGATCAAGAATCAACAGTTGGAGATAACTCATCCATTATCATTAGTATAAATAAGAGGACTCTCAAAAATTGCAAAGAAGGTCGATTACCGCGTGGTATCAAATAGAGAGTAGCGTAAAAACCTTAAAGTTCCTGAAGATTGGTTCCACAACGGCATCACACTATTCTTTAAGGGGAGCAATCCGCTCTTCTAGTGGAACAATAAGATCCAAACAGCTACCTGAAGAGCCAGAGCTGATTAGGTTAGGAAGGTACGAGAGGCCATGATATTTATAGGTGGTTGGTTCAAATATGTATTTGTATTAAAAAGAGCTAGCTATGAATAAATTCAATCGCCTACTTGTATGACAACCATGCGTGCTGCGTCGGCGAAGGGCAAGCAGGTGGGGGAGGATCGAGGAGGAGTACTAACAAATAATTCTTAATACTACAGTGAAAGGCTAACGCTTATGATAACAAACTGTCTCGCAAAGACTGCATCTCGGCTGCGAAGAATCTGTCTCATGCTTCCTAGCTGCCAACCTCCTCTTTCTCTTTCTGTTTTGCCTATTCAGGCTGATAGGCCCAAGCGGTTGTTAATCATGTGTCTTCGCCAGCAAAAGGTTCACAATCATATATATGCCAGTGTCTTTTTCGTATAGTACATTACGCGGCTCTGCATCGCATTGAACCATGCTTGGGATTTTATTGTGTGGTCTCAATTCTGGGCTTCGCGTGGTCCCAGTTCCGGGATTTATTGTATGGTAATTATCCGTTAATTCAACCTTCTGACGTTATTCCTTCCCCGCTCAACCCTTCCCTTAAGTTGGACCTTTTCTGTTCAATATCTTGTCTCTTCCCAGGCCGGGTTCCAACACAGGCATCATGGGCAAGAATAGGTGACACACAAGCTTCAGCCGAGCCATCAGTCGTGCCTGTAGAGAGGCAGCCGCTAAACCTCGAATTGGGTCGAAGGGGGGATTTGCGACACTACCACCAGTCCGCTAGTTGGTATATAAAGGCTCTGCATGTATTGGCTTGTCACCAAAGGAGGCTGAAATGCAGGCAGATTCATATGCTGATTACAGGGGCTTTAGGGACATGCAAACATGCGAGAATGGCAGCTTTCTTGGGAGGGCTTTAGGGGTCGGCCCGTTTGCGATAGTATCCTCAGAGCAGGCCCATCTGTATATCTTTGATGTGAAAACACGCGACCCAGACACTGTCCGGTGACTATGGCGAGCCTAAAGAGGTCTAGCCCTCACACTTTTATAAGACCTTTGGTATCGCTTCCTAATACGTTACGCTCTCATCGGCATCACGTTAAGAATATATCCATGGGATATCAGCATTATTATTTCATGTTTGCTGCCCTTGTTATGTTGATTCGCCTCCAGATATAATTTTCTTTCTTCTCAAGACCCCAAATCCTCTAGTTGCATATTCTCCCACAAGTTCTCCTTCCCCGAGCTGTTAGACTACCAGCCATCATTTCAACCATTCATGAAATCCAGTGCTGTTTTCGGATCAATATCCCCGATCAACAGCCTCGCCCGATCCCGCCCTACAACTTTATCAAACACTCTTGTCGAGCCTCCTACGATAGCCTGCGTATTCGTGCTGCCCATCATGAACCGCGCGTCGTCAAACGCTTGCACCAACCTGTACGTTGCGGTCCCGTCCGCCGCCCCCGCTACTGCTGTCGCCGCCCTGCACACGTCGCCGCACTGCGAGATAGCTTGCACCGTCTGTGCCATGCCCATCATAAGGGACTGGCTGCTGGCGCCGGCGTCTTCGACGGCCTGCACGGCAAGTTTGATGCCCTCCATTTGGCCGGTGAGGAGGCCCATGGCGGATTCGACTTTGGTGGTGAGTTCTTTGTTACCCTCGGAGGAGGATTTACTGTTTCCAAGAATTTGGGAGTGAAGTCAGGTAAGGTACTTCAAGTAAAAGTCGTTGTTTAAAGCAAGATAAACTTGAGCCTTCAGGAACCAGTACTCACAGGGACACAACGAGTAAGGCGATCGTGAGCGTCGACTTGTACCTACTTAACTGGATCCGGAACGCCGCAATATCGTTGGTCTTGAAGTGCAGCATAAACTTATCTCTCTTGCTGACATACTCCGGTGTCGAGTTGGACATTAACTTGCCCACCTTGGCCTCGAAAGCCTTGCATGCGTCCGAATAGTTCTCGATAGCCGACTCGACCTCCTTTAGACATCGACACTGTCTCTCCGAGAAGGAGGCGCCCTTGTCCCTGCCACCGATTGTCTTGAGAGAAAGGAGGACGTTGTTCAGCCCCTCGATGTCGGAATTGAGCTCCTGGAAGATCTCGTGGGCGTGGCTGTAGGTCTCGACCATGTCGTAGAGCGCTTTGCCGCTGTCGTAGGCCAGGGTCGCTACGGCAATGACACTCGCGGTGAGGGATATGGGTTCCATGGTGGAAGATTGAAACCACGCCGCTTCTTGTGAGTACTAGAAGTGATAGTAAAGGAATGCACGTGGTTGAATGAGAATCATGAATATTGTGACTTGGCAGGTTGACAGCTGACCATTTAAATTTGGCGCCCAGCTCTGGTAGCCTTTTGGTAAGAGCTACCACGACTTTCTATCTATATGAAAGTCTAAATTCTGGAGACCTTATGAAGCTCTGAAATGATTGAAACCATAATTAAAGCAGTGTGCAATTCTGGATTGCGCTAAGGTTTTACATTGACTAATTGAACTGCGGCGCCTAGCTCCAATACGCTTTCAGGAAAGAGCCACCACGACCTTTTATTATAAATATCGACCATCTAGACTCAACCTTTGGAGGGTCTCGAAATTAAGGCATGTGCAGCTCTGAATTGCGCAAAGCTTTTACCTTGACTACTTAAACTGTGGCGCCTAGCTCCAATAGGCTTTCATTCCAAAGCATGCCCAGCATATTGCACTACCCAACGAATCTCATTTGTAAGATCAGCATTGATCGGAGCTGCAAATTCGAAGCCGCATGCGGGCGTGCAGGTTACATTTTAGCCAGGAATCGGAGCAATGCGCCAAATTAGTTTTTGAGGCATGATCCTCTAAGTTAACAGTACGCATTAATCTCGGGTATATTCTTATCAGGCCACGCAGTAGCTTCAAACATTCATCTTCCTAATTGTGATTATTATATCTCATATTGCCCGGGTCACAAAAAGCCTGTGTTCTCCTCTTTAGATACGGTGGGGCAGATAAACCTGCCTATCACTTGTTCCTACTTTGTGCATGAAGTAATTAATGCTTCACCCCAGCTACGCCCAGGGGTAGGGGCTCTGACCTGGGTAGTCACAGGCTAATTTATCCCTACCGCCATATTCCCTTGTGTCAGGTAGATGGCAACGTAAATTACATGCACACTAAATGCTCTTCTAGTTTCATTTTAGAGATTACAGGAATTGGGAAAAGAGAATGGAACGAGATAGAGATGAGTTACCCAAGATTATCCTTAACAGCAAGTACGGAATTTTTGAAAGGAACAGAAAAAAGAAAATGGCTAGCAGACGAAGCCATACCTCCTCCACTACGAATCACTGGTTCCTTGTTAAGGCCGCATTATCGTTTGGAGAGCATAGCGGATATAACCTAAAAGCGGGGGCGTCGTGACCCCCAGCCACTGGGTATATTTTGGATTGTTCAGTTGTATATGGTTCCTAAGGCAGTCAATTCGTTAGCTTATACCTTAAAGTTCAGAGCATTTGACTGAGCCTGGCATAAATTCATGGCTTAAGCTGAAGGTATATAGCTGATTGACTGATGAGATCATAGCTTCACTGGTGACGTCGGATTGAAGAAGGCTTCCTGCATCCTAGCGGGATGTCACTTACTAGGTCTCTCCCAAAGGTGATTTGGCGGTGACTAATAGGATTGATGAACTAGATAACGTCTTTACTACTTCCTAGCTAGCTATCTTTCTATAGCTAAATCAAGATAAGCCACTACATTCCAAACTACCTGGTGGTCCAGGAGCTCCAGAGAAATCACTGCCATCTGGAAACCATGTGCGGACCATGCTGCAACGGCGCAGAACGAGCCTCATACAATCCAGCAGCAGCTGAAGGGCTAGCAATAATTGTTGCCCCTCCATCGGAAACACTCAGACGGTCTATTGGCGACGAGAAAAGTCAATATTCATTCATTCTCTATCGTATTGTACTATGTACTATTAAATTCGTCAAAATCAAGAGGCACATCGCTGAGCCGGATATCCCGTGGCGGAGACCGCGAGAGATTGGACAGGCCTGCCGCAAACCCGACCAGGAGCCTAAAGTAGACATTCGGGAAGAATATCTTGAGTTGTCCGGTGAGTGCGGCCGCCGAGCCGGTCCCGAACGGCCGACCTGGAGGCAAGGTCCTAAGCACGACATAGTACCCACAGACCATGGCGGCATTGACCAAATACTTATACTCTCGGGCTCAAGGGAAGCCTCCGTCTTATACTTCGTCAAAGAGATATAATACGGCAAGCGCCTCGGTCTTCAGGGGAGGCAATCCACGCGGTCGTGTAGAGCGCTGGATCGAGGTTGGGTATCATTGATGTAGCGTTGCGTTCTTGATGGACGCGGGCGGTCTGCGGCGATAGCTTTGTTATGGATGAAGCGATTGTTGAAGCCTGCATTCAGGTGTCTTTAGCGACGTTGATGCAGTTGCCTAGTCAGCAGTCAAGTTGCAACACAGGGGTTCGATATCAGGTAAGATGTTGTTGGGTCTGAAATCGCAAAAATTGCTATTCTGTTGGTCAAGACTGCCACGAGATGATTCAAGTCGAGCTGACTCGGCTTGCTCGGAAAGTCAAAACCTCCACACTCATAAAGTGGTAAATCGGGACTTGTGCAGACCTGCCTGCCTCACAACTCTATTGCCGCAAATATTGGCTTTCCAGGTCTGGACCCTTCCGCATTCCAGCTGAACGAACAGTGGCGTGAGAACTGATGTATTTACAATGCAGATACAATTCAATACCAGGCTTCCTCTTATTGTAGTGTATTGTTGACACATCGAAAGATTCCACACAGTGTGAATAAGTAAGCAGCAATCTTATATTCACAGGTATACATGCATATTTATGTATAACATGTTTGCGCAATACAGCATCTACAAGGTTTTTTCCAAAATTATATCATATTTACTATGAGAGCTACATGGGTTCTCTCGGGCTGTGCCACATGCCACTCGACTCCATCGGGCAGCGACATTTCAGCACAGCTATTCACAACCCCCCTTCTAGATCGTACTTCTGGCGAGGCAGGTCGCAAGGCAACCTCAAGGCTTCATCTATAGCGGCAGTGACGCTCGAGAGCCGAAGCAAGAGGATGACCACCAGCTCTAGGAAGAGTTACATTTTCTGACTTCTCGTCCGCCCCAGCTGCCAGCGTCAGGCCGCTCGCTGCGAATCCGCCAGCTCCGAGCCGGCTGAATTAATTGTAAAGTAGCGGAAATGTCCGTGGGCCCATCCAGTTCGGCGCCGGATGTGCTGCCCTCCCAAGGTGGAAAATACTACAAAAACATTGCGTTATACGAGAACTCTCGAGCTCAGATCGGGGATGTGATCAAAATTGGTAGGCAGATCTCCTTGCAGCAATGTACCTAGTGAGCACAGACTTCAGGATGCTGACCCCACTCAAGAGCTTCTCGAAAATGCCGCGAGAGAGCTGCGGGAAGATTGTCTCCACGACCTCTTTCTAACCGACCCGGTCGAGGACAAAAACGCCCTGAAGCGCAAGAAGGGCAACCGCGCTGCCGACACATGCGAATGGATCCTCAGAACTAAATTACTCACTACCTGGCTAGATACAGGGCAGGTAATGAAGTCAGAAAACCCAGCTACTGACATCCTGTGGCTGTATGGGAATCCAGGCAGCGGAAAGTCGATCATGTCAATCTTCCTTGCCGAAGAGCTCTCAAATAGATTCTCCGCCATGGATGGGAAGACACTCAGCTACTTTTTCTGTGACTCAAGTTTTGACAAGCGGAAGACAGCTACATCTGTCATCAGAGGACTTCTCTGGCGGCTTCTCCAAGAGCACCCGCCACTTCTCGAGTATGTGCTGCCGAAGTATGCAGAGCGCCGGGGGGAACTGTTCAAATCGTTCGACGCTCTCTGGGCGATATTCATGGATATCGCCGCGGATAGGGCCACCGGGCGGAAGTATTGCATCATTGACGCCCTAGACGAGTGCGATCGAGAGTCCCAAGATATCCTATTGAGAGAAATAGCGGAGACCTTCGGCCCTGCCAGCTCTTTAACCCGAGTTTCAAATATTCGGATATTAATTACTAGTCGACCCTATCCTGAGATAGGTGAATATCTTAGAGAATTCACAAATAAAAACATAGCTTCATTCCGAGAATCAACGAGAGACATTCAGCGATTTATCAATGAAAAGGTCGCTGTCCTTATGAAAAGAAAACACTACTCAAAGCAGGTCACAAATCAAGTCACAAACACTCTCAAAGACAAGGCAGAAGGAACCTTCCTGTGGATCGGTTTGGCCTGCGAAGAGTTGGATAAGGTAGCTTCGAAAGATGCTGTCAACTACCTCCAGGCGTTACCCAAAGGACTTCACTCGCTCTATAAGAGGCTTCTCGACACAGCCCTTGAACCGGAGAGAGGGGAAAGGGATACAATAAAAAGCATTTTGAGCTCCGTCGTGGCATCCCTGCGACCACTCAGCCTGTCAGAGCTCTCTGTAGCTTGTCGGCTTCATGAGGAAAAGGATGAGGAAACTCGGATCCAATCCACACGCGACGAGGTCGCATCTTGTCGTCTAATGTTGATAATCCAGGACGATAAGGTGCTCCTCCTACATCAATCCGTCAAGGACTTCCTGGTTGGGTCTCGTGCCGATCGCTTCATCCACGGACCGGAGGCGCATGCCGGCTTTGCGCACCGCTGTGTTGATCAGCTCATTTGGTGGCATAATCAGGAGCCCAACATTGAGTCAAACGATAGCTTTCTCTCCTACTCAGCCCAGTTCTGGGCTGACCATGCACGCATGGCCCATCCAGAGTTCATCATTAAGAAGTCGGAAGCCACATTCTTTAAGATTCATTCCGACTGTCGAGAACATTGGTTGGCCATCTACAGAGCCGGTTTCGACGACTCCATTGCGTCACGGTTTTCCATATTCCACGTGGCCGGCCACTGGGGAATTCGCAGTCTCGTGGAATTTGCTCTTGACTCACGAAACTACCGGACGTTAACGCCCGAGTATGTCGACACTGATTATATCGCTAGTGACGGGGTGTCACCCCTGGAGGAGGCAGCAAGGTCGGGGCACAAAGACGTCATAACTTGTCTATTGAGTCGAGAAAAGAATGGCTCAACTGTGCGTCCGCAGATACAAATAGCCGCGGCAAGAAACGAGAAGCATGGCAAGGAAGTCTTGGAGCTGCTTTTCGACCAGCGTGGGGACATTACCGAGGAAGTAGTCAAGGCTGCAATGCAGAATTGGACGAATGGCGTGGAACTGATAAGACTTCTTCTCCAAAGGCGGGGAGATCAAATCATTGTCACCGAAGAAATTGTGAAAGCTGCAGCGCAGAATTGGATGAATGGTACAGAACTCATGGCACTTCTTCTCGACTGGAGGCATATCCAAGTCAGGATCACTGACGGGCTTGTGATAACGATGGCGGAGTCTTTTGATGACCAGGTGTTTGCACGCCTGCTGAATCGTTGGGGGAACGAGATCACGATTACCCCAGAAGTGATTAAGGCTGCATCAGGGAATGAGCAAAATGGCAAGGAAGTTGTGGCATTGCTTCTCGACCGACGAGGCAACCAGGTCCCGATGACTGAGGATGTGGTGAGGGCTGCAGCAGGTAACGAGGAGAATGGCGAAGCAGTCATGGCGCTTCTTCTCGACCGACTGGGCGGTCAGATCACGATTACTGAGAAGACGGCGAATATGATAGCACAACTATTTAACGAACGAATAATGGCACTTCTTCTCGACCGATGGGGGGATCAGATCACTATCACCGAGGGTGTGATAGAGGCCGCAGCAAGTAACAAGGAGAATAGCAAGGCAGTTATAGCGCTTCTTCTCGGCCGACGGGGCAACCAGATCACGATTACTGAGGGTGTTGTAAAGAGGATAGCACAACTATTTAACGAAGGAATAATGACACTTCTTCTCGACCGATGGGGGGAACAGATCACCATCACCGAGGGTGTGATAGAGGCCGCAGCAAGTAACAAGGAGAATAGCAAGGCAGTTATGGCGCTTCTTCTCGGCCGACGGGGCGACCAGATCACTATCACCGAGGGTGTGATGATGGCTGCAGCGAATAATTCAAGGAGTGGCAAGGAAGTGATAACACTTCTTCTCGACCAACGGGGTGATCAGATCACCATCACCGAGGGCGTGGTGGAAGCTGCGGCAGGCAACAGGAAGAATGGCAAGGCAGTTATGGCGCTTCTTCTCTGCCGCAGGGAGAGGCAGATCACAATTACCACGGAGGCCGTGAAGACGGTAGCACAACATTTTGACGAACGAATAATGGCGCTTCTTCTCGACCGGTGGGGTGACCAGATCACGATTACTGAAGAGGCTGTAAAGGCGTTGGCGCAACGGTTCGGCCAACAAATAATGAGACTACTTCTCAATCAACGAGCCACTCAGATCACGATCACCAATGATATAGTGAAGGCAGCAGTGACCAATTCAAGGAGTGGCAAGGAAGTGATGGCGCTTCTTCTCGACAGGTGGAGTGACGAGATCCCGATCACTGAGGATTTGGTTGGGGCAGCAGATAATAATTCGAGGAGTGGTAAGGAAGTGATGGCGCTTCTTCTCGACAGAAGGAGTAACCGGATCACTATCACCGAGGGTGTGGTAAAAAGAATAGCACAACGGTTTGACGAAAAAATACTAACACTGCTTCTCGACCGATGGGGCGATCAGATCACCATCACCGACGCTGTGATAGAGGCCGCAGCAAGTAACGAGGAGAATGGCAAGGCAGTTATGGCGATTCTTCTCGACCGACGTCGCAACCAGATTACTATTACTGAGGGTATAGTAAAGGCTACGGCAAGTAACGAGAAGAATGGCGAGGAAGTGATGGCGCTTATACTCCGCTGCAGGGGGAGGCAGATCGCGATTACCACGGAGGCTGTAAAGATGATAGCACAGCTGTTTGACGAACGAATAATGGCGCTTCTTCTCTATCGATGGGGTGACCAGATTACCATCACTGAAGATGTGGTGGAGGCCGCAGCAGGTAATGCGAAGAATGGTGAAGCAGTCATGGCGCTTCTTCTCGGCCGACGGGGCGACCAGATCACTATCACCGAGGGTGTGATGATGGTTGCAGCGAATAATTCAAGGAGTGGCAGGGAAGTGATAACACTTCTTCTCGACCGACGGGGCGACCAGATCGCTATCACTGAGGCTATATTGAAGGCTGCAGCAGGTAATGCGAAGAATGGTGAAGCAGTCATGGCGCTTCTTCTCGACCGACGGGGCGACCAGATCGCTATCACTAAGGCTATATTGAAGGCTGCAGCGGGTAATGCGATCAATGGTGAAGCAGTCATGGCGCTTCTTCTCGGCCGACGGGGCGACCAGATCACTATCACCGAGGGTGTGATGATGGCTGCAGCAAATAATTCAAGGAG